GGGTTTGCCATGTTGGCCAGGCTGGTCTCAAACTCCTGACCTCAGGTGATCTGCCCACCTCATCCTCCCACAGTGCTGGGATTACAGGTGTGAGCCACCACGCCTGGCCACTAAGCACTTTAAAACCAAAAAAAGCTCAAAGTGATTGATCATTCTCGATGGCAGGAGCCCCACCTTGGGGTGAGTGTGATGTAGATGGATTAATTTAGAAAGCAGTGTATTCATCTGGGCAAAGGAAATTCTTCCAGAGGTGATGATGCGGCAGATACTCCCCGTGTTCTCCCATAGCAAGTTGGCCCTCTTGTCGTCTTTTCAGTGGGCAGCAGCTGCCCCTCCTTCCACAAGCACTCAAGCCTGTTTGTAAATACTGAAGGAATTGATGGGGTCGAGGAAAGGAGGTGCATGTGACCAGGGTCCCAAGCCACAGCTTTTCAGATCCCGGGAAGCAAGCGGCATTTGCTTGAGCTGTGGCCTTGGAAGGAGAATGTTTGTTTTATAACTCACTGACACCAGGATTCTCCCTTGCCATTGAGAAGAAAGCATTATCTAATTACCTTCAGGTGGTTTACTTATTCTGTAAAGAATTATGTGTAAATATTTTGTACAGAGCCATGTATCAAATAAACAGCCATATGTGGTTACTAATTACCTCTCTGTCATTCCGTCCATGGCCACCACTCAGTGGGAGTGGACTCTGATCTGGATGCTCCCCAACTTCCATCCCAGGCCCAGAACTGTGCTGTGGTCTGTGGACTCCTGGTTGGCCTTGACTGGCTAGGAGACCTTGGGCAGTACCTATAGTCCTGCTGTTTCTATTTGATCTGCAAGAAGTATGACCGACACACTCCAGGTGCCGCCTGGGGTGCCGCGATATTTTGCGTGTGTGTGTGTGTGTGTGTGTAGATGCTATTTGTCCACAGTTCCTGGTTCTTTACTCCCATAGCCCTTGTTCTAATGTTGGGGCACTGCAGGCCTCAGAAAACACAATCTGTCTCCTGCCGTCATTTCACTTGTTCAATGCCAGACACTTACCTGACTGTGGCTTATAAGACCCTCATTCCAGAGAGGGTCCTGCTCCATACCCAGGAAGGAGAGGCCAAGAAGCATCTAGACAGACAGGCCTTGCTGGGTTTAGACCTTATGCTTTTTGTCCAATCTCATCTCAACACAGTTGCCATGCTTCAGCCACGCCTATCCAATGATGTCTCCATAAAAGGCCCAGGAGCACAGGGGAGCTTCTGTGAACCTGTGGAGATCTGTCCATGTGCCAAGAGGGTGGCGCACCCCCACTCTGTGGGGACAGAAGCTCCTGCACTTGCCCAGGACCCTTCCAAACCTCACCCTGTGTGACTCTTCATCTGGCGATTTGTATCCTTTCTAATAACGTTTGTAAGAAACTGGTAAACATAAGTAAAATTTCCCTGAGTTCTGTGAGCCACTCTGGCAAATCATCCCACCCGAAAGGGTGGTCAGTCGGATGTGGCAGGGGGCGATCCTGTGTGACAGAGCCATGAAGCTGTGTATTCCGTTTCCCGATGGTATAGATAGGGTCAGCACTGAATTGAGTTGGAGGATACCCAGCTGGTGTAGGCTGCAGAATTGCTTGCTTGCTTGCTTGGTGTGGGGGCAGAAATCCCCAACACATTTGGCCGCAGATGTCTTTTGTTGTCGAGAGAGCAGAGGAAGAAAACATTTTGAGTTCATGTTTTTTCCACTCTCGGTACCGTCACAGTTGATGCAAGTGGTGCAGGCCTGGGGTGCCCTTGCCTGCGTTTCACACCTGGTCTGTGATCCTAGGGGCTGGCATTTGGTTTTGGATTCTAACCAGAGCTTGATGTGGTGCCACGTCTCCTCCGTAAGCCCTTTCTGTCTACAGAGGAGCTGCTGAGCCTGCGTTTGCCGAACTTTCCAACATCCTCCAGACACTCCCGGCTGCTGGGGAGCGAGAGCACAGTGCAGTGCCCGGTGCACGGCCTCCATCCTGGGGATGGGGCCAGCAGGGAGACATGCTGTCTGTGTTGTTTGTTTCCTTGGCCCAGAGGAAAGATGTGCAGGTTTCCAGGACCCAGCCAGTGGCACTCAGCTCCTGCCACGCTGGGCTAGGGCCACACTGCCATTTGATCTGACAGTTGTGGTGTGTGCAGGACTGCCCAGGGCACTGCGCTGCCTCTGCAAGCTCACACCAGAGCTGCACCCAGGAGCAATCTGTATCCTGCAGCAAATTCAGGGGCGATTTCTTAGACGGTGATGGTGGAATGTGAAGGATGAGTAGAGTTATGATAACTGGAGAACTGAAGGAAGGATGTGTGTGGGATACTAAGAAATACTTGGTCTTCCTCCTGGGTTCCTATGGGGCTCCTACAGCCCTGGGAATTTCCTGAGTGTGTTTTGTTACTCAAAACAAACTCCTTTCCAGCCCATTCAACTTCATGCTAATGAAGTTTAGAGTAGGGCCCCTAGATTGCCCCAGGGTCGGTCTGGCATCAGAGAGACCAGGTGATTAGAGGGCGGGAACTTTCAATCCCAGTCAGTGACTCCTGGGAGTCTGGGTGCTGGAGGTGGAGCTCTTCACAAACTTGAGGTTCCGGGCAGGCTGGGCATGGTGGCTCACACCTGTAATCCTAGCAGTTTGGGAGGCTGGGGTGGGCGGATCACCTGAGGTCAGAAGTTTGAGACCAGTCTGTCCGACATGGTGAAACCCTGCCTCTATAAAAAGCCGGGCATGGTGGCGGATGCCTGTAGTCCCAGCTACTCAGGAGGCTGAGGCAGGAGAATTGCTTGAACCTGGGAGGTGGAGGTTGTATGAGCCAAGATTGCATGACTGCACTCCAGCCTGGGCAACAGAGCAAGACTCTGTCTCAAAAAAATAAAAATAAGGCCGGACGTGGTGGCTCAAGCCCATAATCCCAGCACTTTGGGAGTCCAAGGCAGGCAGATCATGAGGTCAAGAGATCGAGACCATCCTGGCCAACATGGTGACAGCCTGTCTCTACTAAAAATACAAAAAAAATTAGTCCCAGCTACCCAGGAGGCTGAAGCAGGAGAATTGCTTGAACCCGGGAGGTGGAGGTTGCATTGAGCCGAGATCGCGCCACTGCACTGCAGCCTGGCGCCTGGCGACAGAACGAAACTCTTGCCTCAAAAAAATAAATAAATAAATAAAACAAAATTTGAGATTCCAGTGACTATCAGTCACTACCATCTTGCCTGTTCATCTCCCCAGTGTGGCTGTTCCCATCTGCACTGCATCCTTGAGGACACCACACCGGGAAGCGTCAGGGCAGGGTGCTTCTCAGTTCTGAGTCATTCTGGCAAGTTATTGAACCTGAGGGGGTGGAGTCATGGGAACCCCTGAATGTGTAGTTGGCCAGGAAGGAAGTATGTGGGTTGCCTGGGCACCCCATCTGTGACTCCATCAGAAGTGCGACAGTCTTATGGGACTGAGCCCTTTAATTTGTGGGCCCTGACGCTAGCCCCGGTTGGTATCAGAGAGCTGGAAAAGTGGTGTCAGATAACACCACAGTACGCAAGCCTGAGGGGAAGGCAGTGTAAAAATAACACATGAGTAATAAGTGTAGGTGGTTTGGGGCCAGCAAAGCCCTGGAGCTGGGGTTTAGGGTCTGTGGAGGGAGGTGCCCATGTCCCGAGCATTAGGCCGGGCAGGGGTGGCTGGAGTGCTGGGGAGAGGAGTTGAGGCTGCCCTGTGGGTGATTTGGGGGTGAAGCTAAGCCTTGACCAGAGCTGGGTTTGAAGAGAGAATTATTGGTGGTCTGATGGGGTCTGAGACTGAGGGTCAAGTGTGTCCCTTCCTTCCTGGCTGTGTGAGCACTAAGTCACTGCTTCTCGGAGGCTCACGTCTGTAATAGTAAAGCAGGGCTGGTGTCATCCCTCCTGGAGGGTTTCCTGCCAGGACGTTGGTGAAATTCGTTTCTATTTGTGAAGCTGTGCTGGTGCTGTTGCCATTTTTGTGAGCGGTTATTGATCAACAAACACCTATAGCCAGCTGAGCGCTGGGCCCACGCTCACCCAGGGATGAAGCGCTGACAGAAAGGAGGAACAGGCCGGAGGCTTCACCAAATCCAGCTAAGAGGTGACGGGGCTGAGACCCAGCCTGGCTGAATCTTCCTCCTCCTGCCATTGTCCCCTTCGTGTGTTCTGCTGGTGGCCCCTGCTGCCAATTCCTGCTTCTCACGAGGGCCCCCACTCCCTGGTCTTTTCTCCAGACTTCCTCGTGGTTGGCACTTGGGAGCGCCAGCCCGTGGGCTCACCTCCAGCTGCCTGCATTTGAGCAGATTCCATGCCAGCCCCAGGCAGTAAAGGAAGACACCAGTGAACACCAGTATAGGCTGCGGGGCCACCCTCAGTGGTAGTTCTTTATCTGAGCAATGGGTTTCCACTCACCCTCCCCTGCCCCTGGAGAGAGAATGACCCTTGTGTCACTCAAGTAGATTTGGGACCTCCTGCTGCTTCCTCTAGATGGTTTAAGCCCAAAGCCCTGGGGTCTGGTTTTCTTTCTGCCCTGGAGAGTTGGTGTTGGGCTCTCAAGGTCCGGGCCCCTGGCATGGGGTGAGCCTTGGGAGGTGGAGGCACCTCTACCTGACCCTGCAGTAGAAGGTGCCCTGATCCTGCCCAGCTTAGACCTTTCACTTGCAGGTGCAAGGAGTGTGGGGCTGAGGCAGGAACCAGGGTCGGCCTGCACCGCTCCCTGCCCCTCCGCACCAATGCAGCATGGACAGGGTGGGCCAAGCAAAGCTGAAGCCACCACAGCCCTCTCTGCAGGTCTCGCCCTCACTTGTGATAGGCTGTGAGTAGAGACCCACTTCATGTTCCTCTTAATGAGAAAAAGGATGATGCGAGGACACTGGAAAGGCCTCGGTGTGAGTCCCGGGGTGATGAGGACTGGCAAAAGGGAGGGTGTACACCCCATGAAGACTTGACGGCTCTGTGACTCCAGTCCCCACAGGTGGAAGTGAGGACCTGGCATTACCAAGCTTTGACAATTTCAAGAGAAGCCGGGCATCTAGATTTTAATGTGGCAAAAAGATGTTGCCAATTTAAAAATATTGGCAACGAATTAAAATTTCTAAAATAATACTGGGTGTTCTGGTTACAGCCTGTGGCACCACAAGAGAACAGTCTGTTTTCCTCTGGTTCCCACACTCCTGAGAGACACCAGGCAGGAGAGGAAGGAGCAGGTATCAGACAGCGTCTGCCTGAGCTGGGCCCATCCACATGCCTGCAGCTCGGCTCTCCTCAGCTTGTCGTTTCCTCCCAGTCGGTGGTTCTGTCTGGCTGTTTCCGCCTCCAGGGCTGGGGAGGTTGCCTGAGCATGCCTGTCATCGGCTGCCACAGTTGACTGTCCTGAGCCCACACAGGCAGTGCCAGAAGGACCCAGTCCACTCACACATACTCAGACATCTCTGCGCAGGGTGACTGGGGCTGGCTCTCGAGTCGTGGCATCCGATGGCAGGAGGCAGTGCCTTTCCGGGAGCTAGAACAGGCCCTTGCCCACAAAACCACAGGCCTTCAGCAGCAGACGCATCCTCCGCCTGCTGTGACATGGGTTGCCAAGTCTGGTAGAAAGGTCCCAGTGCTGTCACAGCCTCATTCTAACACAGATGGTCTGACAGATCAACTTCCTGATGCAGTTCCTAGAGACATCGGGATCCTGCTTGTGTGCAGAGTCCCAGCCCAGGACATTCACTTCCTCTCAAGGACGTCACACATCCCTTCCTGGAAAACCATTTTAATTACAATAGCTTACACAGGGTGCAGACAGGGAGAGGCAGAGCTGTGCTTTCAAAACTGCCCAGTCTCCTTTCTGGCTCTGAACAGGTTAGCAAGAGTTCTAAGAGGCCCCAGGCCTCCAACTGCAAAGGCAGAGAACAGTCAGCCCCAGAAAGCCAGCAGGGGAAGGCAGGGAGGCTGTGAGTGCAGCAGATGAGCGTTGTGGTGGGAGGAGTATGGAGTCACACAGAGGCTCCACCCAGTGAGGCCTCTGGCCAGGGGACGTGTTTACGGCTGGAGTTAGGCAGAGGTGGGACCTGCTAGAGAGAGAAGTCTGGCCGGCAAACCCCAAGGGAAGGACAAAGGCACTGGGGCACATGTGACCATGGACAACAGCAGCACAGGCAGAGCCCCACAGCACTACAGCAAGCAAGGCCATCCACGAAGCTTGGATTTGGCCTCTGCACAAAGGCATCTCCCAGCCAGAAGTTGGAGCCAAAGTCCCAAGCTCAGCTCCGTGCCATAACAACCTGTAGGTGTGGGGCTAGGTCAGCATGGGGCCCCACCATTTTTAGCTCAGTGGCAGTTCTGACAGCTTGGGTGGCAAGGAATTCCATTCACCCTGCAGCGGCAGCCCCCACTGGTATCTCCTGGGCCCTAGAGGATGGGAGGAAGAGAAGAGAATGTCAGGGTAGTGCAGAGAGACTGCCCCCAAAGTCGAGCACTCTCCCAACCTGGGCCTTTGCCTCTGCAGGTCCTCCTGCAAGAATGGCCTTATCGGCCTCAGCTACCTGATGGAGAGTTATTGAGGCCTTTTCTGGGCTCCCACAGCACTCAGTCTACCTACGCCTATATCCAGGAACAGGTCAGGGAGAGGATCTGACCACTCTTCACATATTCTAGACGTGTCAGCGCACTGGCAGCGTGCAAGAGGGCAGTTTCCTCTGCCTCCACTGAAAGTCTATATGAACCTAACAACAAGCCCCCAGTTCCAGAGCACACCCCTAATCATGAAAGCTACCATTTGCAAGGATGCTCAGCAAGTGACAGGCCCTCTGCTAAGCACTTCTCTTGCAATTTTTCAACTTGATTCTCACAAGCCTGAGATAAGCCCAGCTATCATCCCCATTTCACAGAGGAAATGGGGCTGAGAGAGGTATGTGCCAGAGCCAGTGGCCAATCCACCTCTGACTCCAGATCGAACCTTTACTTGCTGTCCTTTAGGGTAGGTGTGGGAGAACCTTTTTTTTGGCAATGGGTCAGTCATTTTGGGCTGGGCAGCCATATGGCCTCTGCCTCTGGAGTGTAGGAGCAACCACAGACAATATGTAAATAAGCACGGCTGCGCTCCAAAGCACTTTACCTAGGGACACTGAAATGTGGATTTCATGTAATTTTCATATGTCACAAAATAGTCATCTTTTGGTATTTTTTCAACCATTTAAAGAACATTCTTACAACTAAGCACAGTGGCTCACACCTATAATCCCAGCACTTTCGGAGGCCAAGGCACGTGGGTCACCTAAGGTTGGGAGTTCAAGACCAGCCTGACTGACATTGAGAAACCCTTTCTCTACTAAAAATACAAAATTAGTCGGACATAGTGGCACATGCTGTAATCCCAGCTACTCAGGAGGCTAAGGCAGAAGAATTGCTTGAATGCAGGAGGCAGAGGCTGCAGTGAGCTGAGATTGAGCCATTGCACTCCAGCCTGGGCAACAAGAGCAAAACTCGGTCTCAAAAAAAAGAACATTCTTACCTCAGGAGCTGTACGAATTCAGGTGTTGGGTTGGATATGGCCCCTCTAAGACAAACCCCACAAGGGAACCATCTCCACACTAGCACAAGTGAGACTCACCCCAGGGCCCCAGCGTGGGCCCTTAGTGACCCAGCAGATCTCGGTGTGACAGACAGTGCAGCGGATCCAGTCGCAGCCATCCTTCTTCTGCACCACGATCTGGCACTGGGGGCAGCGCATGGCCTCCCCCTGCTGCAGCATCACCTGGAGCGGGACAGATGCTGGCCTTGGGGTGGGGCTGGGGCAGCCACCCAGCCTGGCCCCCCCTCCACGGCAGGGAGAAGGTGGTGACCCCCTGAAGCTGTGGAGTCTCTCCCGTGCGGCTCCGCCAGGCCAGGCTCTGTCCAGCGACCCCCTCTTCATTCCTGTGGTCTCCTCCCTCCACCCACTCTTCCCTGACCTGACCAGTCGGCCTAAGTCCCATCTCTGGATGGGAATGACAGCCAGAAGCGAAGTCAGAGCCTCCAGGGATGTGAGCACAGCCCTTGCTGAGAAGCCCCCGGCCCCCACCTGGATCCAGAACTTAAATCCCTAGGCCTCGGCCCTGTCACAGCCTCACCTTCAGCATCTCTGTCGTCTGCCGGGCAGCCACGTCGTTCTGAGCCCGCAGGGCCAGGTCCTCCTGATACTCCTTGCAGTTCATCTGCTCGTGAATGGCCTGCAGGGAGTGAGGGGCTCAAGGTGAGAAGGTTCCTCCCCGGGTTAACAAGTTGGAAGAGGTGAGGGGCAGGGCAGGAGTCCACAAAGGCACTTAATGCCTCTAGGTGTAGTCACTGGCAGGGCCTCACTTTGTAAAGCATACACCCATTTTACAAAAGAGGATACTGGGGCCAGGGAGAAGTCAGGGTCATCACATATGCTAACAGCAATAGATACCTCAGCCTCCTGGGTAGCTGGGACCACTGGCACGTGCTGCTGTACCCAGCTTATTTAAGTTCTGATGGGCACGGAAACCCCTTACACCCCTAGGGTGAGACCCCACATCCCTGCATGGGCCCTGCCCAGGTTAGAGGCCCAAGCTCTAGTTGTGTTTACCAGCTCCTCACCTTCGTGGTCAGCTTTTGAGATGAAGGGACAGGGACAGGCCTGGGGGAAGGATCAGGTAGGGCTGTCTGGGTTTGAGGTCAGCACTCAGTTCAGGACAGGGATGGAGACATGTATAGGGTCGGGTCAGGGTCTGTGACGGACAGGTTTGGAGTCTGGGCTGAATATGGGACCAGCTTAAGTGACAAGTGCAGAGTCAGGTTTGGTCAGAGGTCAGGTCTGTGGACTTGGATGGGCTTGGGGCTCAATGTGGGACTGGGATTCAGTCTGTGACTAGGGTCAGACTTAGCCTCAGCCCAAAGACAGGAGTTGGTCCAGGGGCAGAGCTCCACTGTAGACCAGGGCTCCCTAGGTTTGAGGCTCCATCTGGGGCCAGGTCTGGGACTCCCTCTGTGGGGCCAAGGTTCAGTTCAGGCTCAAGCCACACTCTCCCACTGACGTGTAGCTCCAAGTCATGACTAGCAGGCCAGTGTCACAGCTCCCTTCCCAGGAGAACATGCCCTGCCCTGTGGTGAGCTCCAGCAGGATGACTGACCAGGCGGGGTGAGTCCCCGGCCCCACCTTGCAGAGCAGGCAGTTGACATGGAAACACACAGGGCAGGTGAACTCATTGACGTCATCCTCAAAGAAGCACCATCCCTTGCAATCTGGGGTCTTGCAATGGTAGCTGAAGGCACTGCGGTTTTCAGCAATGGAGATGCCCAGGTCTAGAAATCGCTGGTAATCCTCAGCGGTCAGGAGCTGCAAACAGACCATGTCCTTGTTGATCGGGGTTCAGAACACCTGACATACGACCCTTGGCCAGCAAATACCTTCTAGAAAGCCCCAAACTCTAAACTCTAACCCAGGCCCAGGCTCTTTTCTTCATGTAATCCTCACAGTGTTGTAAAACTCCATTCAAAAAGTGGATTTTAGGTCAGGTGTGGTGGCTTACACCTGTAATCCTGGCACTTTGGGAGCTCAAGGCAGGAGGATTCCTTGAGGCCAAGAGTTTAAGACCAGCCTTAGCAATACAATGAGACCTCATCTCTATAAAAACAAAACAAAACAAACAAAAAACAACAAACCACACACACACACACACACACACACACACACACACACACACACAAAACCAGGTGTGGTGCTCACATGCGTAGTCCTAGCAACTGAGTTGTGGGGATTTCTTGGGCCCAGAAGGTCAAGGCTGTAATGAGCCATGACTGATGAACTGCACTCCAGGCTGGGTGACAGAATGAAAACCTAGCTCAAAAAAAAAAAAAGAAAAAAGAGAGTGGGGGTAATTTCTAAACGTTCTGGAGGTGGATGGGGTAATGTGGTGATGGCTGCACAAGAGGATGAATACACTTAATGTCACTGAACTGTACGCATAAAAACTGGTTATAATGGGGCCAGACGCAGTGGCTCATGCCTGTAATTTCAGCACTTTGGGAGGCTGAGGTGGGTGGATCACCTGAGGTCAGGAGTTCGAGTTCAGCCTAACATGGAGAAACTCCATCTCTACAAAAAACATACAAAATTAGCCAGGTGTGGTGGCGTGTGCCTGTAATCCCAGCTACTCAGGAGGCTGAGGCAGGAGAATTGCTTGAGCCTGGGAGGTGGAGGTTATGGTGAGCTGAGATCAAGCCACTGCACTCCAGCCTGGGTAACAAGAGTGAAACTCCATCTCAAAAAAAAAAAAAACTGGTTAAAACGGTAAATTTTATGTCTATTTTCTCACAATAAAGAAAAGGATAAAAGTAATAAGCAATGTTGGGAAAGATGTGATTCAGCTAGTATTCTGTAAATAAAATGTGGTACATCTACACACTGGAGTACTATTCAGTCACATAAAGAATGCAATCCTGTCATCTACAGCAACATGGAGGAACTGGAGGTCATTACATTAAATGGAATAAGCCAGAAACAGACATCGCATGTTCTCACTTATTTGCAGGTGCTAAAAATCAAAACAACTGAACTAATGGAGACAGAGAGTAAAAGAAGGGTTACCACAGGCTGGGAAGGGTAGTGAGGCCTGGGAGAGAAGTGGGGATGGTAATGGGCACAAGAAAATAGAATAAGACCTAGTATTTGACAGCATAACAGATAGACTATAGTCGATAATTTAATTGTATATTAACAGAGTATAACGAGATTGTCTGTAACACAAAGGATAAATGCTTGAGGGGATGGATTCCCCATTCTCCATGATGTGATTATTACTTACTGCATGCCTGTATCAAAATATCTCATGTACCCCAGAAATATTTACACCAACTATGTACCCGCAAAAATAAAAAATAAAAATTAAAAACTAGTATCTTAGTACATAACACTGAGAAAGCAATGTGGCAATAATGTTTCAACCATCCCAAACTTTTCCAACCCTTTCGTACCCATCCCACTTCTGTAACTTTATCCCAAGAAAATAATATATAAGACACACTGTGGGGTGCAGTGGCTCACGCCTGTAATCCCAGCACTTTGGGTGGCCAAGGCAGGCAGATCACGAGGTGGGCTGGTCAGGAGTTCTAGACAGCCTGGCCAACACAATGAAAACCTGTCTCTACTAAAAATACAAAAATTAGCCAGGCATGGTGGCACATGCCTATAGTCCCAGATACTCAGGTGGCTGAGGCAGGAGAATCACTTGAGCCAGGGAGGAAGAGGTTGCTGTGAGCCAAGATGCACTCCAGCCTGGGCAACAGTGTGAGACTTCGTCTCAAAAAAAAAAAAAAGCACCATGCAAAATGTTCCTTGAAGCAGTATTTATAAACTGAAAAACTAGAACTAACAGATAAAAACAGTATATGTGCCATTGAGATTTGTAAATAATCTTTAGAAAAATTCTATAGCAAGATTAAAAAAGCTAAAGGTATTGTATCCATGCTGGTTAAAATGAGGCAGAAATCATGCCTATGTTATATGTAACAGTGGCTGGTGGTTACATGAGTTACATTGGTCAAAATTTATCTGACTGTATACTTACAACGAGTACATTTTATTGTAGGCAGAGTGTACTTCAATAGAGTTGACTTTAAAAATCATATCTGGGTGGGCAGTGGTTCATGCCTGTAATCCTAATACTTTGGGAGGCCCTGGTAGGTGGGTCACCTGAGGTCAGGCGATCAAGATCATCCTGGCCAACATGATGAAATCCTGCCTCTCCTAAAAATACAACAATTAGCCAGGTGTGGCAGCACTCGCCTAGAGTCCCAGCTACTCTGGAGGCTGAAGTAGGAGATTTGCTTGAAGCCGGGAGGCAGAGGCCGCAGTGAGCCAAGATCATGCCACTGCACTCCAGCCCGGATGACAAAGCCAGACTGAGGTGAACTGAGATCACACCATGACACTCCAGCCTGGATGGCAGAGCGAGACTCCATCTTACCAAAAAAAAAAAAAAAAAAAAAAAATCTGCCCAGAGACCCTGAAGGAAGTAGGCTAAAATGCAACTGGAGTATTTCCTGGGCTTGTGGGTGATTCTCTTTGATTTCTGCTCTGGTTCTATGTGGTGAGGCATATTGTTTTGTTTTTGTAAAAACAACATCCACCACATTACTTGGCTGATCCCTGCCCCCTTCTCTCTGTCACACTTGACCATTTTCTGAGACTCACGTCAACGTCCATGGGCTCCAGGGAAGTCCTGCGGCCCTCTGACATGAACCCCAGCCCCAGCATAATGCTCCTTAGCTGGGGTAGACTGCACAGGGAGACCTCTAGGCAAGTGACTATAGGTGCTGGGGACACGGAATGACTGGTCATGCGGTCTCTCCAGGCCAGAGCGAGGATACCTCAGCAACTACCCAGAGATGACAGAGAAAAATGGGGCTGCCCTTAATGTCAGAGCTGGGAACTCACAAAGCTCTACCCCTTCTGCCTCCCACTTTATCCCTGGGGCAGAACTTCTTGGGCTCCATAAACACTTGGTGAAGTTAGGAGCATTCTCAGGAGAAGCAGGGGCATAGGAGAGAAGCAGGGGGGATAGGAATAAAGAGGAGGTCTTGTGTATGTGTTTTGTGGGGGCTTCCCATTTGGACCTCGGCTGCCATGTTTTGGCATGGGGACCCACAATGCCCAGGGAAGGCTATTCCCCAGCAGTTTAAAAACCATGAATCAAGTCCAACTGTCCACTTTTCAGATGGGGAAATGGGGCGGGGTGTGGTGGCTCACGCCTGTAATCCCACGCACTTTGGGAGTCTGAGGCGGGCAGATCACAAGGTTAAGAGTTCGAGACCAGCCTGACCAACATGGTGAAACCCTGTCTCTACGAAAAACACAAAAATTAGCCAGGCACAGTGGCAAGTGCCTGTAATCCCAGCTACTTGGGAGGCTGAGGCAGGAAAATTGCTTAAATCCTCCGGGGGGTGGAGGTTGCAGTGAACTAAGATCGTGCTGCTGCACTTTAGCCTGGACATCGGAGTGAGACCCTGTCTAAGAAAAAAACAGATGGGAAATGGAGACCCAGAGAAGGGAAACGACTTGCTCAAGATCACTAGCAGCCAGACAGAAAACCGACTAACGAATTCATGAAGAGTGCCAGCAGCAAGCACACATGGATGCAGACACACACATGCTGTGACAGACTGGCGGAGTGGTGACTCCCATTTGTTCCTGTCTCCCTGATTCCACACCTTTGGATAGCCCCTTCCCAATGAACTCTGGGCTTGAGCATAGGAATTCCTTTGGCCAATGGACAGTGGCAAGTGAGAAAAGAGCTGACTTAGAAAGCACTCATTTGCTGGGGCTCCCCATGGCTGCTCTTGGAAGCCTGAGACCACCAAGACATGAGAAGGCCTAGGGCAGCCTGCTGGTGGATTAGACCCTGAAGTGGAAGGAGGCCCCGTCATCCCAGTCATCACAGATGAGACCATCATAAACTAGGCCATCCACCAGCTAGACCCAGGTGAAATCAGCGAGGCCCTGCCCACATCAGAAGAACCATCGAGATAAGCTCAACCCGAATTAGAGTCATCCCTCAGTATCCCAAGAGAATTAGTTCCAAGATCCCTACAGATACCCAAATCCATGGATGTGCAAGCCCCTTATATAAAATGATATAGTATTTGCATATAACCTACCAACATCCTCCAATACGCTTTAAATCATCTCTAGATAACTTACAATACCTAATATAACATGTGTAGTTTATGCTACATTGTTTTTTTAAATTTGTTTTTTATTGGAATTTTTAAATATTTTTTAAAGAATATGTTCTATCTGCTGTCGTTGAATTCTCCAATGTGAATTCTCCACAGATAGAGGGCCGACTATCCTAACTTGCCGATTTATGAGCTAAATAAATGACTGTTGTTTTGAGCCTGCAGTGATTTGTTAGACAGCAAGTGCTAAAAACAACAAAGGGTTACCAGGTGACAAGCACTAGTCTAAATTCTTTTTCTTTTTTGAGACAGAGTTTTGCTCTTGTTGCCCAGGCTGGAGTGCAATGGCATGATCTCGGCTCACTGCAACCTCTGCCTCCCAGGTTCAAGTGATTCTCCTGCCTCAGCCTCCTGAGTAGCTGGGATTAACAGGCATGTGCCACCACACCCAGCTCATTTTGTATTTTCAGTAGAGATGGGGTTTCTCCATGTTTGTCAGGCTGGTCTCAAACTCCCGACCTCAGGTGATCCACTCGTCTCGGCCTCTCGAAGTGCTGGGATTACAGGGGTGACCCACTGCGCCCGGCCACACTACTCTAAATTCTATACACATATCCTCTACTGTAATCTTTGTAATCCTGGAAATAGAAACTGTAACTCTGACTCTAATAGAGATGAGATAGAGGCATAGAGAGGTTAAACATCTGACTTGTGGTCATACACCCAGGCCACCAGGCTCCAGAGTCCCCCCGTTTTGTTTTCTTTTTTTGAGGCAAGGTCTCACTCTGTTGCTCAGGTAGAGTGCGGTGGCACAACTGCAGCTCACTGCAGGCTCGACCTCCCAGGCTCAAGCGATCCTCCCATCTTAGCCCATTCCCCCTCGACCCCTCCCCAAGTAGCTGGGACTACAGGCGCATGCCTCCACACCCCGCTATTTTTTAAATCTGTTTTGGAGAGACAGGGTTTTGCCATGTTGCCCAGGCTGGTCTGTGTGAATTCAAGCAATCTGCCCACCTCAGCTTCCCAAAGTACTGGGATTAGAGGTGTGAGCTGCCATGCCTGGCCAAGTCGCTGACTCTTAACAACTCTGCTGTCTTTGCTTCATAAATGTGGCTCCTTGACTAGCTACTCCCCTCAAATCTTTTTCTGATTGGGGTCTCAGCACCCTACAAGGACAAAGCCCTTGAAAAATGTCTGGAGGGCGGAGGTTGGATGATCAGGTAAGCCCAGGAGTTTGAGACCGGCTTGGGCAATAGACCCCATCTCCAAAAAAAAAAAAGTTAAGATGCCTGCTGCCTGAGCCAGTCCCTACCTGCCTGCTTGGGGCCTAGTTCCTTGGCACTTGGGGTATATCTCCCACCTGAGGACTTACCGCCTTGATCTCCCTCTCCAGCAGCTTGCCCGAGCATGAGTAGGTGTTGTCAATGAAGGGGCAGGAGACCTCCGCCTCCTGGCTGTTGCGGATGGTGCCCTGCAGGCATTCCCTGGGGGAGGGGAGGGGAGGAGAGTGAGGGTCATCGGAACCCCATCCACTGGGGACTCCACCCCTCACATGGCAAGGCCTGACCCCAGGGGCCTCTCTCAGTCACCCCAGGTGGGCTTCTCCTCAATATCCCCTTCCTTCCCATCCATCACCAAGGCCTCCACCCTGTCCAATTCTCTGGTCCAGGCCCTATCAACCCCCACCTGGTGACTGCAGGAGCCTCCTCGCTGGGCACCCTGCATCCATCTGGCCCCTAAAGTCTATCTCAGCACAGCAGCCACGTCTCCCCGGTGGCCTCCATCCCACCCACACCAAATCCCAACTGTTCATGGACTCAACACCTGTCTACCCTGCTCTCTGATTACCCACGTCATCCCTCTGCTCCAGCCACCAAGAGACCTCCTCAGTCTTCTCCAACAGGCCAGGCTCACACCTACATCAGGCCTTCCAGTCCCTGCTCTGGGGCTACCTCCCTGGAAGCTTCTAGACCACCTCTCTGGGAAGGACTCCTATTGTATCTTAATGTACTCTATGTAGCAATTTCATGTACTGTATGTAGACAATATTCACAAGGACATCAGTGATTATCCAATTCACATCGGCCTCCCTGCTGGAATGAAAGTTGCAGAAGGCAGGTACGGAGCCTGCCACCTAGGGGCTGCTCCACAAGGGTCAGCTGTGGTGAGTGGGTCTGTGCTCCCCACATCCGGGGGTGGAAGGGCCATGACAGGAGACTCGAAACAGGCAGATGCCCACCGCGAGGCTGAGAGCAGCGTGGCTGCAGGAGCCTTGGCGGTTGAAGGTAGAGGGGAAGGGAGGCTCCGGAGCCTCCACCCATGCCTGGGTCCATGTCTAGGCTGCTTCTCTTATGAGCCATGTGGTCTTGGGTAAGCTGCCTGGCTCTCTGTACCTTAGGTTCCTCATCTGCAAAATGGGGAGACAACAGAGCCTACCTCGTATGTTTTCGCGGGCGTCCAATGAGATATCAGAGCACAGGGCCCCACCCACGTCCAGCCCTGCGTAATTGACGGCTTTGTTAAACGCTGCATTGCCGGGGGTGGGATTGGGGGCCGCACCTGCAGAAGGTGTGCAGACACTCACGCAGCACCACGGCCTCGCCGGGCGCCAGCACCGAGTAGCACACGGGGCACTCGGCGGGCTCGGTGTTCAGCACCAGGCTCCTCTGGTCCAGCTGGACGTGCTGCAGGTAGTTCCCCTCCTGCTGCTTCTGCTTCCGCTGGGCACACGGGGCGGGGCCGTGGGGTGGGTCAGGGTCTCGAGGACGGGTCAGACCACGAAGGGGTAAGGATCAGGGGGCGTGGTCAGGGCTGGGTCAAGCCAGCAGGAGGCAAAACTGGGAGCCAGTCGACAGGGGGATTGGGGATGGGGATAGAGGATCGAGGATCAGGGATGGGGTGGGCAGGAGCAGTTAGGTTGAGAGGGGCGTGGCTGGGAGCGGGGCCAGGCGGAGGTGGGGAAGCCAAGGGAGGGAAGGCCAGCCAGGTAGCCAGGGAAGGCGCTAGGAGAGGGAGCAATGGCAGCAGAGAAAGGAAGGGGGCCAGGGTCTGAGTGGTGAGTCTGGGTAAGAGGGCAGGGTCGGGGCCAGGGCTGGTGGAGCCAGCTCAAGGGCAGGGTGGGAAAGTGACAAAGCCAGGGAGCAGAGCAAGGCTGAGACGGGAACAGGAGTGGGGTGGGCAGGGGCAGCAGTGGGTCCAAGGGGAACTCAAGTGGGGCCAGGGGTAAGATTAGAATGGGGAGGTCTCGGGATCAGGTATTTGTCCTTAGGGCGTGTGTCAGATGGGGGCGGGGGAGGGCTAAGAGAGGAGCAGGACCAGGGATGGCGGTCATCCCCCTAGGAAGCAGGGAGGGGCCAGGCCAGTCTATCAGGAAGTCAGGGTTGAGCCAAGCCAGAGAGGGAGGAGGTCAGGAGTAGTAGCGTCCAGGGTGAGGTCGCCGCAAGGTGGAGCGGGCTTAGGTCACAGACAGGTGAGGGTGAGGTCCGAGCTAAGGTGGAGTCATGGCTAGGGTGCTAGGGTCATAGCCAGGGACACTTGTGTGGTGTGTCAAAGCTGGGGATGGAGCCACAGCCCACATGAGAGTGGGGTATGTGAACCTGGATGTGCGCCACAGCCAGGGAGCGGGTCTCAGCCACAGGGTGACAGGGTGACCTTGGAGAGAGGGCAGGTCACAGGCAAGTGCAGGGTCACTGCCAGCAGCATGGTCAGGAGGGGCAAGGCAGTAACGGGGAGGAGCGGCAATGCGCAGGTGTCTCCCTTCCTGGCCTACACCTCCCCCATCCGGTCTGCAGGTGTCTGTCCAGGGACAGTACCAGCGCCCACCTGCTGGTACTGACGCAGTGACTCCTCCTCGCCAGCCAGGCGTGCTCGCTCCTCCTCATCGGGCTGGTAGGAGGCAGGGACCTGGTAGGCCTCGGGGCGCGCCCGGCAGCACATCTCACAGCCAGGCCGCGTGGGCTTGTTGATGAAGGTGCACCCGGGACACTGCCAGCCCACCTGGGAGCGGAGGGGGCTGTGAGCCAGACTGGGCAGGGTAGGGCAGGGAAGAGGCACAGAAGAGGATACTGAGGCCAGGGAGGTGTGGCCAGGGACAGCTTACCGGTGGGGGCTCGGGCACTGCATCTGGCTGCCCCCGTCCAAGTTCCTGAGGGACCCCGGGCTTTGGGGTGACTGGCTCCAGAGGGCCCCGAGGCTGCAGCGTGAGGTCCTTGAAGCCCAGATCTTTGGAGGAGAATTAAAGGGTGGTGGTTCCATGCAGCCCACTTGGTCCACACTCATAGGGGGTGGGTCTCCCTGAGCCAGCCAGGCAGACCCTTCCCCTATCCTCTCCTCCCTGGGGGTATCTCCAGCCTCCATCTGGTCAAGTGGGCATCCTGGCTCCCCCAAGGTCAGGGCCCCTATTCCACCCACAAATGCTTCCGTGTCCTCTGAGCTTCAAAATCCAGCATAACACCCGCCCTTCTGTGCCTCCGGAAGGGTGCACCAAGGGAACCCAAGGGCACCACTGAGACGGCCCTGCCCACTCCATCCATCCTAGAGGAAACACCAGCCCCCAACCCCCACAAAAAAAGAAACTGGCCTGGACTCTGAAAGGGACTCAGACATGACGGCTGAATGCCAGGTCTCTTGCTATAAATGACAATAGTGGGACAACTAGTAAAATCTGAGTAAGATCTGCAGATTAGGTGACAGTACCGTAGCAATGTTAGTTTCCTGAGTTGGATGTTATACCTAGTAATTTAAGAAAATGACCTTTCTTTTCAAGGAAATGCACACTGAATTATTTAGGGAAAAAGACATCATATCTGCAACTTACTCTCAAAATGGTTCAGAAAATAAAATAATTTTATATAGAAAGAGATGATGGGCCGGGCGCGGTGGCTCACGCCTGTAATCCCAGCACTTTGGGAGGCCATGGCGGGTAGATCACGAGGTCAAGAGATCGAGACCATCCAGGTCAACATGGTGAAACCCCATCTCTACTAAAGATACAAAAAATTAGCTGGGCATGGTGGCGAGTTCCTGTAATCCCAGCTACTCAAGAGGCTGAGGCAGGAGAATTGCCTGAACCTAGGAGGCGGAGGTGGCGGTGAGCCGAGATTGCGCCGTTGCACTCCAGCCTGGGTAACAAGAGCGAAACTCCGTCTCAAAAAAAAAAGAAAGAAAGAAAGAAAGAGATGATAAGGCTGCGTGTGGTGGCTCACGCCTATAATCCCAGCACTTTGGGAGGCCAAGATGGGTGGATCACTTTAGGTCAGGTGTTCCAGACCAACCTGACCAACATGGTGAAACTCCATCTCTAGTAGATACAAAAAATTAGCCAGGTGTGGTGGCGCATGCCTGTAATCCCAGCTACTCAAGAGGCTGAGGCAGGAGAAAGCAAATGTGGTAAAACCCACATGAAAGGTACATGGGAATTCTTTATACACTACTTTGTAAAATGTGGCAACTTTTCTGTAGGTCTGAAACATTTCAGAAGTTAAAAATTAAGAATAAACACTAGTTATCATTATCATCATCGTACCCAATTTATGATTTTAGCAAACTGGGGGGCAGATAGGAGTAACCTTGCCCAAGGTCACGTAGCTGGGAATGCCAGAGCCTGGACAGAATCTGGCCCTCCCCATGCCAGCTGTTCTCATGATGGGTCCCTGAAATTCTCCCTCCCATGTGTCTTAGGTCCTCTCTTCCCCATTTGGATAGGGTCCTCTGGGTGATCCCCTGACTAAAAACCCAGGGGCTCTACCCCTGCTTGCCCTGCGCCCTCAAGTGAGTCCAGGGTCCCCGCTGGGTTCCGTTGTGCTCAGGGGCAGATCCTCACCTTCCAGCATCCGCAGCTGCCGCTCCCGCTGCAGCTCCTGAGGGTTGAGGGAGGTGTTGCGAGCTGAGAGCAGATAGAGGTAGGCACTATCCCCATTCTGCCGCACCCCATGGGAGTGTAGGGTCTCCTGGTCTCGTGCCAACCGCTGCCCAATCACCCACTGCTGCAGAACTGGTGGGAAGCCATAGTCCAGAAAAACCTGGTGGGGGCACCAAGAGAGGGAGTGTGGGAAGGGAGGGCCAGAGGACAGAGAGGAAGCAGGAGCAAAAGGGAGAGCCTCCACCCCAGTGTCACCCTCAGCCTCCTCACTCACCATGTCCTTGAGGGATGCCACTGTCATATCAGGGCGTACTGTGAGCCAGATGGTGACAGCGTGCAACTGAGCATCCTCCACACTCACCCACAGCCTGCGGAGAACAGCAGGGCTCAGCATGGGCTCTGGCCAGGAGTCCAGCCTCAGCCACTGGCTACAGACATGTACATATTTGCACACAGGCACATGGCCATGTACACATAGATGCACACAACCCCCAGTTTGGGGTACGGGCCCTATCCCCATGCATCCTCCCTTATTAGAATCCACCAGTTAGGCCCCTCCAATGGCTCCACACTACTCTTAGAATCAACTCATGGCAGCACACAAGGGCCTCCATGATCTGGCACCTCCCTGATCCCGCCAGCCTCTTCTATCTTCTCTCCCCTGCTCCTTAGTCAAACCACCAAAAGTTGTTGTTTACTATGTGCTAAGACTATTCAATGCACTGAATGTGTATTAACTCACTTAATCCTCTCAACAAACCCATCAGGCGGGTACTGCTGTACCCCTGTTTTCCAGATAAAAATGTGAGGGTTAGATAGGTTACAGTGACTCTGCCAAGCTGAGCAACTAACAACTGTTAGAGGCAAGATTCACTTCTATGTATGTACGCATTCATTTATTTTGAGATGGAGTCTCATTCTGTCGCCAGGCTGGAGTGTAGTAGGATAATCTCACTGCAACCTCCGCTTCCCAGTCAAGCAATTCTCCTGTCTCAGCCTCCAGAGTATCTGGGACTACAGGCACACGCCACCATGCCTGGCTAATTTTTGTATTTTTAGTAGAGACAGGGTTTCACCATGTTTGTCAGCTGGTCTCAAACTCCTGACCTCATGATCCGCCCACCTCAGCCTCCCAAAGACCTGGGATTACAGGTGTGGGCCACTGCACCTGGCCATATTGATTTATTTTTAAGACATAGGCTCTCTTTCTGTGGCTCAGGCTGGAGTGCAGTAGTGTTATCTTGGCTCACTGCAGCTTCAACCTCTTGGATTCAAGGGATCTTCTCATCTCAGCCTCCCAAGTAGCGGGGACCACAGGCTCATGCCACCATGCCTGGCTAATTTTTTAAGTTTTTGTAGAGACAGGGTCTCACTATGTTGCCAAAGCTGGCCTTGAACTCTTGGCCTCAAGTGATCCTCCTGCCTTGGCCTCCCAAAGTGGGATTCCAGGAGTAAGCCACTGTGTTCAGCCAGAGGCAGGATTTAAATCCATATGGCATTATTCCAGAGAAAGTGGTTTTAACTTTCTCAAGGATCCTCCAACATTTTTGGAAAACTAAAACCATGAAAAGATGGAAAAACAGAAGTGACGCCAAGGGAAGCAGAGATCATTTAAGGTATGGAACAATAAGCAACAGTCGTCTAACCTACCTTCAGAGGGATTTGGGAAAACGTTGCATGCAGAAAGCAAGAAAAGGCATGTTGCAACCAAAAATTGAGGAAGAGTCCATGGACATTAAAAGTGACGCTGGCTGAAGCTTCATCTCTACCAGTTACAGGAAAAATGGGAGACAGTAAATGCCACCATGATACAGTTTGGGAATTTGTCCCTGCCCAAACCTTATACTGAACTGTAATCCTCAGTGTTGAAGGTAAGGCCTGGTGGGAGGTGTCTGGGTCATAGGGGCGGCTCCCTCACAGCTGCCCTCGCTGTGGTGAGTTCAAGCAATCCACCTGCCTCGGTCTCCCAAAGTGCTCGAATTACAAGCGTGAGCCACTGTCCCCGGCCAAGTCCTAATTTTTTGAAGACACATACCAAAGTATCTAAGGATAAAATAATATCTGAGATTTGTTTAAAAGCAGTCCAGAAAACTTTCTCAAAATTCTTCAAGTAAACAATTTGAATACCCAGTCAACTATCAATGAATTGAGAGAACAAAATATAGAAATTTTTAAACATGCAAAGACTCTAAAAGTTTACTACATTTTCCACATGAAAAGTTCTTGAAAAACAAAAATAGATGTGTCTGACACAGGAGAATAAAAGAAAAGTAAAAAATGAAAAGGACTGGATCTTAACCCCAAAATGTTCTTCCAGCAATAAGGGCAAATGCACTAGTCTATAGTGAGTATTTCCATAATCAAAATACTATAAATCCTTTCTAGTAATGCTACACTTTTAGAATCAACCTAGAGGCAAAGCATAGAAGTTTTAATTATGTTAGAAAGCAAAATTTAAAAGCTACAATCTTAACACAATCAACAAAAAATACAGCGGGAGCTCTCTCATCCAGAGTCATATCAGGATCACCGGTGAAGAGCAGAAAAGCACAAAAACAGCTGCAGACAAAGCTTGCACACTTAACTTACATGCTACACATGCACATTCACTGGACAGTCCTCTAGATGTACAGCCAATGGCTTTTCCCTCTTTCTTTCTTTGAGACAGGGTCTCACTTTGTCACTCAGGCATGATCATGGCTCACTGCAACATTGACCACCTGGAGTCTAATAATCCCCTGGCCTCAGCCTCTCAAGTAGCTGGGACTACAGGTGTGCACCACCCAACCTGGCTAATTTATGTTTCCCGGGCTGGTCTTAAACTCTGAGTTCAAGCCATTCTCCTGCCTCAGCACCCCCAAAGCCTTGAGCCACCATGCCCAACATGCGTATACATCTGCTGACTGGAGTTTCCTATGTATTTTTTTTTGTATGAACCACATCCATAATCATGATCTATAATTTCTAGTACCAGCTTCTTTAAAGTGAGCAAGAACTTAGACACATTTCCGAAGCATCAGAGCACAGAGCCCTTCTGGATTTTTACTGTATTTCCTTACTACTGTCTCACCCAAAAGTGGTAATTTTTTTTTCTTTTTTTTGGTGATTTGTCTCTTGTCTTTTGAAAGCAGTCAGCTTACTTTTCACAGAAACAACTCTTTCAGCGCTCATATTATATTGATTAATAGCTAACTAAACTATCTTATTAGCAATAACACATACAACAGGTATCATTTACTAGGAAGCATCCGGTCTGTCAACGAGAACCCAACAGCTGAGAGATGCCAGTTGCCCAGAGCCTCTCAAAGCTCAGGTTCTGATCCAGCAAGTCTGATGTGGGACCTGAGATTCTGCCCATGTTACGGTCCACAGGCCACACTTCAGTAGCAAGATGGTGGCTGACACTGTACATTTTACAGAGGAAACTCCAGGGCATCAAGTGGAAGTCAACTGGGAAAGCGTCCACTATGTTACTTCAACAAAAAAAGTCAGGAAAAGGAAAGGTGGAAGATGAGAATGTTAACTTCCTCATTTTTCATAGCAAGGAGTTCACAGGTACTGTTTGTTTTTGTTTTTGTTTTTTTTTTGAGGCGGAGTTTCGCTTTTGTTAGCCAGGCTGGAGTGCAATGGCGCGATCTCGGCCCACTGCAACCTCCGCCTCCTGGGTTCAAGCAATTCTCTTGCCTCAGCCTCCCGAGGAGCTGGGACTACAGGCGCATGCCACCATGCCCAGCTAATTTTTGTATTTTTAGTAGAGACGGGGTTTCACCATGTTGGCCAGGCTGGTCTCGATCTCTTGACCTCGTGATCCACCCACCTCAGCCTCCCAAAGTTCTGTGATTACAGGCGTGAGCCACTGTGCCCGGCTACACACAGGTACTATCTCAAACAACCATTTCAAGAAGTAGATATATCAATATTTTGTTTAAAATTGAGTGCCCAAAGATCTAGATTCAATGCAATCCCTACCAAAATCTTAGTTGTTGTTGTTTGCAAAAACAGATAAGCTGATCTTAAAATTTATATGAAAATTCAAGAGGCTTGCAATAACCAAAACAATATTGAAAAAGAACTAAAGTTGGAGAACTTATATTTTCTGACTTGAAGTACTATGATGCTATAGTAATCAAAACAGTGTGGTACTGGTATAAGGGCAGATATATATTACAGTTCAATGAAATAGAAATGAGAATCCAGAAATAAGCACTCATATTTATGGTCAATTAATTTTCAAAAAGGGTTAAGATCATTAAACAGGGGGAAATAGTCTTTTTTAACAAATAGTGCTGGCACAACTCAATATCTACATGCTTAAGAATGAAGCTGGATCCTTATCCCACACCGTATACAAAAATTAAGTCAAAATGGGAAAAAGACCTAAATGTAAGAGCTAAACCTATAAAATCTTTAGAAGAAAATATAGAGGTAAATCTTCATGACCTTGGATGAGGCAATGATTTCTTAGATATGACACCAAAAGCACAAACAACAAAAGAAAACATAGACTAACTGGACATCATCAAAATTTAAAACTTTTGTGCTTCAAAGGATACCATCAACAAAGTGAGAAGATGACCCACAGAATGAGAGAAAAGTTTTGCAAATCATGTAGCTGATAAGGCATTTGTATCTAAAATGAATAAAGTACTCCTACAACTCAATAATAAAAAGATAAGCCCGGTTGGGCACAGTGACTCATGCCTATAATCCTAGCACTCTGAGAGGCCAAGAAGGGTGGATCACCAGAGCTCAGGAGTTCAAGACAAGCCTGGCTAACATGGTGAGACTCCATCTCTACTAAAAATACAAAAATTACCCAGGTGTGGTGGTAGGCACCTGTAATCCCAGCTACTTGGGAGGCTGAAGCAGGAGAATCACTTGAACCTAAGAGGCAGAGGTTACAGTGAGCCAAGATTGTGCCATTGCACTCCTCCCTGAGTCACAGAGTGAGACTCTATCTCATAAAAAAAAAGAAAGAAAGAAAGAAAAAAAAAGATAAACCCATTTAAAAATGGGCAAAAGGCCGGGCGCGGTGGCTCACGCCTATAACCCCAGCACTTTGGGAGGCTGAGGTGGGTGGATCAGGAGGTCAAGAGATTGAGACCATCCTGGTCAACAAGGTGAAACCCTGTCTCTACTAAAAATACAAAACTTAGCTGGGCATGGTGGTGCGTGCCTGTAGTCCCAGCTACTCAGGAGGCTGAGGCAGGAGAACTGCTTGAACCCATGAGGCGGAGGTTGCAGTGAGCCGAGATCGCGCCATTGCACTCCAGCCTGGGTAACAAGAGCGAAACTCCGTCTAAAAAATAATAATAATAGATTCCAGAGGAACGATCCAAGATGGCCAATCGCTAACATCCCGGGACTGCAGCTCTCAGTGAGGCATGGAGAACTAGAGGAGGCCACACTTTCAGACAAATTCTGGTCGCTCACGGAGCAGAAGATCCCCAGTGGAGGAAACACACGGGTGGCCAGCGCGACTCTCGTGGCCGGCAGCGGTTCCGCCGGCACCTCCGCAGGGCAGCTGTCGGAGCAGAGTAAACAGGTTCGTAGGACCCGCAAGGCCCCCAGCACGACACCAGAGCCCGGCCCAGAGGCTGTGACAGCACCTCGGCAGGGCAGCGCTCGGCGCAGAGTAAACGGGACCAGCTCCCCTTCTGACCGAGTTTTGGAGCCCCGGGAAGGCAGAGTCACCTACTACGGACACAAGAAGGAAGCCCGACAGGAGAATCCTGGGCAGAAAAGCACCATCAGTTTTAACGCCGCTTCTCTGGCCCTGGGAACTAACAACCTGGACGTCCACTCAAGAGACCTAATCTGAAAGTTGGTAATTTCAAAGAGACAGGAGGATAAATTTACAATGACGAGAAGAAACCAGCGTAAAAAAGCTGAGAATACTCAAAGGCAGAACGCCTCTCCCTCTAAAGATGATCACAGTTCCACATCAACAATGGAACAAGGCTTGATGGAGAACGAGCGCCTCCTGATGACAGAATCACTCTTCAAGGAATGGATAATAGCAAACTTCGGTGAGTTAAAAGAACATGTTGTAGCCCAACGTAAAGAAACTAGGAACTTTGAAAAAAGGTTTGATGAAATCCTATTGAGAATAGACAACTTAGAGAGGAGTATGAGTGAATGAATGGAACTGAAGAATACCATACAGGAACTCCGAGAAGTATGCACAGGTTTAAACACTCGAATTGTTCAAGCAGAAGAAGGGATATCAGAGGTCAAAGTCTAACTTAATGAAATAAAACGTGAAGAAAAGATTAGAGAAAAAAGGATAAAAAGAAATGAGCAAAGTCTCCAAGAAATGTGGGACTATGTGAAAAGACCAAATTTACGTTTGATTGGTGTACCTGAATGCGACGGAGAGAACGAATCCAAGCTGGAAAATACCCTTCAGGATATTATTCAGGAAAATTTTCCTAAACTAGCAAAGCAGGTCAACATTCAACCCCAGGTAATACAGAGAACACCACAAAGATATTCCTCAAGAAGAGCAACCCCAAGGCACATAATCGTTAGATTCACCAGGGTTGAAACGAAGGAGAAAATACTAAGGGCAGCCAGAGAGAAAGGTCAGGTTACCCACAAAGGCAAGCCTAACAGACTTACAGCAGATCTCTCAGCAGAAACTCTACAGGCCAGAAGAGGGGGGGGCCAGTATTCAACATCCTCAAAGAACAGAACCTTCAGCCCAGAATTTCATATCCAGCCAAACTAAACTTCACAACTGAAGGAAAAATAAAATCTTTTATGAACAAGCAAGAACTCAGAGATTTTATTACCACCAGGCCTGCTTTACAAGAGCTTATGAAAGAGGCATTACACACAGAAAGAAACAACCAGTATTAGCCTTTCTAAAAATATACCAAAAAGTAAAGAGCACCAACATAAATTAGCATTTACACCAACGAATGGATAAAACAGCCAGTTAACATCAAATGGCAGTAACCCTAAATTTAAATCGACTAAATCCCCCAATCAAAAGACACAGTCAAAACCCAATGGCATGTTACATCCAGACCTGTTTCACATGCAAGGATACACAAAGACTCAAAACAAAGGGATGGAGAAAGATTTACCAACCAAATGGAGAGCAAAAATAAATAATAAATAAATAAAAAGCAGGAGTTGCAAATCTCGTTATCGGATAAAATAGATTTGAAAGCAACAAAGATATAGTGGTAAAAGGATCAATGCAACAACAAGAGCTAACGATCCTAACACCCAGATACATAAAGACTTAGACTCAATGAGACAGAAAATTAATAAGGATATCAAGGACTCGAACTCAGATCCGGAAAAGTAAACTTAATAAATATTTATAGAGCTCCCCACTTCAAATACACAAAATATACATTCTTGTCAATACCACATCACACCTACTCATAAGTTTAAATGAAACATTGATTGGCCATTATTAATACCCAGTTTTTTTCAGAATAAAGCAATATTTCCGTTTACTGTCCCTCTTTCTCTTCCTCTCCTTTACTTATTTTTTTTTTCTTTCCTTCTCTCAAAAAAAGAAATCAACTTGTAAACCTCTAGATCCAGGTCAGCAATGTCTCTCTCATTGCTTGATTTCCTTCCTTTCCTTCCCTTCCCTTCCCTTCCCTTCCCTTTCCTTCCCTTCCCTCCCTCCCTCCCTCCCTCCCTCCTTCCCTCCCTCCCCCCTTCTTCCCTTCCTAAAAATAATAATAATAATAATTAAATAAATAAATAAAAATAAAAATGGGCAAAAGACCTGAATAGGCAAACCTCCAAAGAAAATATGCAAATGGCAAATAAGCACAAGAAAAGATGCTCAACATCATTTGTCATCAAATGGTTAGAAAATTGCAAATCAAAGCCATAATGAGATAACTCTTCAAACTTACTAGGATGGTTATAATCAAAAAGACAAATAACAACAACTGTAAGAGAGGATGTGGAGAAACTAGAACCCTCATACTTGCTGGTAGGAACGTAAGTGGTGCAGCTACTTTGGAAAACTGTCTGGCAGTTCTTCAAAGGGTTAAACATGGAGTTACCATATGACCCAGCAATTTCACTCCTAGTATGTATCCAAGAGAAATGAAAACATGTCCACACAAAAAGTTGGACACAAATGTTCGGGGTAGCATTGTTTATAATAGCCAAAACATAGAAACACCCAAATGTCCATCAACTGATTTAATGAGTTAAGATAATGAGGTATGTCCATATAATAGATTATTATTTGGCAATAAAAATGAATAAAGTTCTGGCTGGGCATGGTGGCTTACACCTATAATCCCAGCACTCTGAGAGGCTGAGGTGGGAGGATTGCTTGAGCCAGGAGTTCAAGACCAGCCTAGACAACACAGCAAGATCTTGTCTACAAAGAAATTTTTTAAAAATTAGCTGGGTGTGGTGGTACATATCTATAGTCCCAGCTACCAGGGAGGCCAAGGCAGGAGAATTGCTTAGGCTCAGGAAGTTCAGGCTGTAGTGAGTGATGTAATCCATCGCTTCCACTACACTTCAGCCTAGGCAGCATGTCAAAAACAGGAGAATGAAGTTATTATACCTGCCACAACATGGATGAATCTAGAAAGCATGATGCTAAGTGAAAGAAGCCAAACATAAAAGGCCACATGTTGTATGATTCAACTTATATAAAATTTCCAGAAAAGGAAGATCCCTAGAGATGAAAAGTAGATTAGTGGTTGCCTAAGGTTAGGGGGTTAAGGGAGAAGGCAGAGTGATAGGGACTGACTGCTAATGAGTACCAGGTTTTTTTTACAGGATGATGAAAATGTTCTAAAATTGATTGTGGCAATTGTTACACAACCCTGAATGTACTAAAAGCCATTGAGCTATATACTTTAAATGGCTGGATTGTATGGATAAATTGTTTTAAGAAAAATAAAAGGGGACCCACCAAGAGAATTGAAAATCAGAAACTATAAACTACTGCCTTACTATCCAGTAATAAAAAAGCAGTCAAAGAAGAACCATAGACCACACTAATGTTTATTGAGCGCATAACACATGCCAGGCATTGTGCAAAGTGTTTCAGCATTGAGTTTAAGTCTTCTGGAGCAGAGACTGATAGTATCCATTCTCCTCCCTTCTCTTACCAAGAGAATCCCTGAATTCTAGATGAATATCTGGCTACAGAGACTCCCCTCAAGCTGAACCATAGCTGTGGGAATCAGTTCTGGTCCATAGGAATTAATGAAAGAAGTGTGTACAACTTTTGAGCTATGTCCTAGAGGTGTATGAAGGGGTGCCTTTCTTCCCTTCCTCCTGATGTGATGGCTGGATGGAGCTGGTAAGAGAAGAGAGGATCCCGGCTCACTGCAACTTCCGTTTTCCAGTTTCAAGCAATTCTCCTGCCTCAGCCTCCCAAGTAGTTGGGATTACAGGCACGCACCACCACACCCGGCTAATTTTTTGTATTTTCTGGTAGAGACGGGGTTTCACCATGTTGGCCAGGATGGTCTTGATCTCTTGACCTCATGATCTGCCCGCCTCAGCCTCCCAAAGTGCTGGGATTACAGGCATGAGCCACTGCGCCCGGCCTTTCAAATTTCTTTACATCACTGTTACCTTTTTTTCTGTTGTATAAGGCCTAACATCCTAATATGGTATATTTCCTAACAACTCTATGAGATAGCTACTGCTACGATCCAATTTTTAATATGAGGACATTCCAAGAGGTGAAGTGACCTGTCTTCTATCTCACAGTTGATTAGTGACATAACTAGGATTAGAGGCCACGCCTCCTGATGCCAGCACCTGCCATTAGGAAGAACTGTTCTATAGGCAAGAATGTCCTGTTCTGCTGCCCCTAGGGTTCAGGCCAGCCATGCACTCCTCACCTGATATCCTGCGTCGGGGAGGCCTCAGGCTTCAGTTGCACACTCAGGGGCACCCGTTGCTCTGCCAGCCAGATGGCACACTTCATTGCCACCTGTTCATCCCCGCCCGCCACTGCTCGGGTGAGACTCAGGGCCATTTCCTCTGCTAAAAGCCAGCACAGCAGGAGCCAGTTAAGCACAGGTTTATTTTCGGGAGCTGGGGTTAATGGGGCAGGAAAGGAGATGATCTTTGTGCTGCTTTCTCTGCCTTCCTGGTAAACTCCTACAAATCCTTCAGGGACTAAACTTCCCTTTCTCTGGGAGAGGTTCTCTGATATTCCCCACTCCTCCTCACTCTAGGCTCATTTGGTTGTTTGTCCTTCATATTCCCAGGGTCCCTCATACTTCTATTCATTTATCCAGCAAGCAGTTATTGAGCTCCTACTGTGTGCCACCCACTGTCCCAGGAACTGGGATCCCACAGTGATTCAGATAAAACAGGGTCCCTCTCCTTAGGGATCTCCCTGCCCAGTGGGGAGACAATAAACAAGTAGGAAAAAAAAAAAAAAAAGTCAGATTGTGATCCTTGCTGGCAGGGAAATAAACAGGTTAAGGAGACCAGGGAAGGCCTCTGGGAGGGGGTAACACTGAAGCTGAGACCTGAAGGAGGAGAAGCCACACATGTCAAGTCCCAGTGGGGAAGAGTGGTCCAGGTGGAAAGAAGAGGAAGGGCCTTGGGCAAGAAATGGTAGGATGAGAACCGAAGGAAGCCAGTGGGGCTCCAGTAGAGTGAGCATGGTGGGGTGAGTGAGGAGAGCTGTCTTGTGGGCCACCCAGGCGCTCTGGGCTTTGTTCTAAGAACACAGAGGGGAATGGGAGGGATTCCAGCAAGGCAGGGACTGACCTCTGTTCTACAACCCTAGGCGCAGGGGGCAAGAGAAGAGGCAAGGACCTCTGCTACTCAGATTAACTGAGTTCTGTCTCCCACCAGCCCAGGAAGTCTCCAAGTTCGATGCCCTGTGTCCTCTGGGAGTCCCCTAGTCCTATCTCAGCACAGAGCTGGCCCAAGGAGGTCTCAGGGCCCCAAGATGCCTCTGGAAGCTAGCAGGTCCCAAAGGAGGAAACTGATGGGGAGCGGAGGAGAGGGAGGGCAGGCTAAAGCCCCCTCTCCCAGGCCCTTCTGGGCAGGAAGGGCAAGGTCCTGCGGGGCCCACTTCCCACTGGATGTTCCCCAGTCACCTCCGGCCTGTGCCCACCTTTCTTGGTCTTCTCGTCCATCTGTCGTGGCTGCGCCCATCCCCCTGGGGGGGGGCCGTGGCTCCTGGGAAACGCTACCTCCGGGTCGCCTGGGAGGGGCGGGACACCAGGAGCAACTCAGCCAGGCTTTGTGGCCTCCGGCGCGGCCCAAGCCCTGTCTGTGCCTCCTTGTACCCGCGGCAGTCGGGAAGCATCACACCGCCCGGGGACCAGGCCTGGACCCCGCGTGGGGCGGTGAGAGGGCAGGGGATGCCCAGACAAGTCCGCAATGGGCGCAGAGGAAACGAGACCAGCCGAGGTGGGGAGAAGCTGGGAAAGGACGCCGGGACGCCGCCCAGCGGGGGCGCTCTAAGTCCCGGAGGACCCCCACTTGCGGGAGCGCCCCTGGCGTCCGGGGTTTCAAAGCAAAGCCCTCTCCTCCCGGGAGGCCCCAGTCCTTCGCAAGGAGAGCGGCTTAGGCGGAAAAGAAAGTGAAAGTGGCGGCCCCGGAAGTGGGGCGGGACTGGGAGGGGGACCGGAAAAGTTGTCGCCTCATCCGGGACCCCCACTGCCAGTGGTCCCGGCGCTCCTGTTCGAGGCGACCCCACCCCGTCCTCTCGAGCTGATCGCCGATCCCCGGACACCCCCAGGCTCACCCTGCCGGTCGCGCTGCAGTGCCGCCCCAGGGGGCGGGGCCGGTAGGCGGGTTGGGCGGAGCCGGGGGCTGGGGCGGGGCCGGTAGGCGGGTTGGGCGGAGCCGGGGGCTGGGGCGGGGCCTTGGGCAGGAGCTGGATCCCCGGATGGAGGGCAGCGGGACCCGCAGCGTTGAGCCGCCGGAGACTGGTTAGGAGCGTGCCCTGCGAGCCCGGCGCCTGCCCACCCAAGCATCAGGCACACCGTGGGGCAGGCCCGGTCCTTGGCTCAGTTTGCAGTTGAATACACGAAGGCTCTGTTTGTTGATGACCTGTCCAAGGCCACTCAGCTGAGGTTTGAATACAGGCCTGGCAGGCTCAGGAGCCCGCCCTTACCCAGGTCCGACGCTGCCTCCCAGCGGTTACTGTCTTTTCACTGAGCTGTGTGCATGTTGGTGAAGTGTGCATTCGTCTGCCTCCTGCCCTGCTTTAATTTTTCTCCCGCTCCTCGTCCCATCGAGCAGCAGATCCTGCCGGCTCCACTTGCAGAATCTCATCCCTCACCGCCTCCAGTCCCATCCCGCTCCAGCTCCATCAGTGCTCCGTCATCTCAGGCGTCCTGAACCAGCCTCCTCCTGGGGCTCCTTGCTTCTCTTTTTGCCCCTACCGTTCGTTTCCACCCAGCTGAGTCCAGTTAAAATGTAAATCAAACTCATGCCACTCCCCCACTCAAATACTTTCATCTCACTTAAAGCAAAAACCGAGATCGTCCCCGCGGCTTGCAAACTGCCTCCCGACCTCTGTCTCCGTAGCTGACTGCGTTTGCCTCACTCCACTTAAGTCCCATTGGCCTGCTGATCCTGGAGTAAGCCAGACACACTCCCGCCTTAGGACTTTGCCCCTGCCGTAACGCAAACGTCTGCATGGCTCACTCCCTCCCTTTATATTGGTCTTTACCCCCCAAAAAAAATCTTCCCTAGCTTCTTCATCTGAAATTTCACAGACACACACGTATCCAGCATTTCACATCCGCTTTCCTGGCTTCATTTGTTTCTTCTCAGCATCTATTACTGTCTAACGGAGCATATTTTACTTATTTATCTTGTTTTGGTCTGTTTTCCTTTCCTAGAGGGCAGGGACTTTGGTCTGTTTTGCTCACTACTGTGTTCCTGGTGTCTAGAACAGCTCCAAATGTATAATGGAAGCTCCCTATGTTGAATGAATGAATGAATGAATGAATCTCAGACCTTCATCTGGGATAATTTTCCTTTTGCCTGAAACACATCCCTTTAAACAATGTTTCTCAACCTTGGCTGTACATTTTGTACATTTGAATAGCCTGGGGAAGCTTTCTTTTGGGGTGGGGGGCGCTACAGAGTCTCACTCTGTTGCCCAAGCTGGAGTGCAGTGGCAACGTCTCGGCTCACTACAACTTCTGCCTCTGGGGCTCAAGTCATTCTTGTGCCTCAGTCTCCCGACTAGTTGGGAATACAGGTGCATGCCACCATGGCCAACTAATTTTTTGTATTTTAGTAGTGACAGGATTTCACCATGTTGCCCAGAGTGGTCTCGAACTCCTGAGCTCAGGCAATCCTCCCACCTAGGCCTCCCAAAGTGCTGGGATTACAGGCATGAGCCACTGCACCTGACCAAAGCATGGGGAAGCTTTAAAAAATCTTGATGCTTGCCTTCTGTAAAAGGACATTGCCAAGGGGGGCGGAAACTGTTGCTTAAGCCACATCTCAGATTAATTGATTCGGAATGTCTGAGGTTAGGAGCCAGGTGTCAGGAGATTTTGTTAAGTTCTCTGGTGTTTGCAATGAGAAGCCACTACACCTGGCTAATTATTTTATTTTTTTTTTGTAGAGACAGGGTTTGGTTATGTTGCCCAGGCTTGTTTCAAACTCCTGGGCTCAGATGATCTGCCCACTTTGGCCTCCCAAAGTGCTGGGAAATAGTTGCTGTTCAGACATTATCGCCTGCCAATTTAACGGCCGCTCTTTTTATAAACAGCTTTATTGAGATATAATTTTTATGCCATAAAAGCCACCCACCTAAAATGTACAATTTAATAGTTTTTAGTAACATTTACAGAATTGTTATGTGGTGATGTGCTATGCAGTCATCACCACAATCTAATTTTAGAACATTTTTGGCTGGATGCCCTGAGTTACCTGTATGTATTTACCTGTATTTGTATTGGAGGCAGCTATAGTGTTTCAGGTTTTCTGGTGGTGTCAGTCTTGGCTCTTGAGGGGAAGAACTGGCATCCAACTTGAACACCCTTCACCTCAGTGGGTAGACTCTAGGCATTCAAACTTGTGTGGTAATCTCAGTGCTACAGTTCACTGTCTGTGTGACCCTGGACAAACATTCCCCCTAGCTGGGCCTCAGTTTCTTTCTCTGTACAATGGTGGTTATGATGGCTCCTCTCATATAGGCTGTTGTGAGAATCTGTACAAGTTATTAATTATTGATATGTAGCAAATTTCCCCAAATAATTAGCTTAAAACAACAATAAATGTGTATGCTCTCACACAGTTTTTGTGGGTTAGGAACTGGGGAGCAGCTACATTGATGGTTCTGGCTCAGGGCCTCTCATGAGGTCGTAGTTAAGATGTCGGCTGGGGCAAAGTCATCTGAAGGCTTGACTGGGGCCGGAAGATCAACTCTAGAAAGCTCTCTCATGTATCTAGGTGGTGCTGGTTATTTGCAGGATGCCTGTGTTCCTCACCACATGTACATTTCCACAGGGGTAATAGAATGTCCTCACAACATGGAAGCTTAGCTCTCCCCAGAGCACATGATCTAGAGGAGCAAGGCAGAAGCCATAACATATTTTGTGACCTAACCTTAAAAGTCATACTTTCTCATTTACAATATTAGTTACACCGCTCAGCCCAGCTCAGGGTCAGAGGGAACTATACGAAGGCATGAATACCAGTTGGTGAAAGTCACTGGGGGCCATTTGGCTGTCACATATGTAGTGAGATGATGTAGGTAAAGCACTCAGAGCCATGTCTGGCATGTGCTATGTGCTCACCCCAATCCGTGTCCTGGCTTTGCTCTAGGCAGGTGGAATCCATGCAGGAACAACTTTCACTCAATCATTCCACAAACATTTATTGAGCACCTGTGTGTACCAGTTCTAGGAACTGGGGGACAGTTATAAACAAAACATAGTCCCTGGCCTTATGAAACTCAAACAAACTCAAAAATGCACAGCCCAATGGTGCTCAGTGCTATGAAGAACCATAAAGCTAGGTCAGGGAAGAGAGAACCATGAGGAAATGAGGCCTGGCTGTCTTTCTCCGTGGATCAGATACAACTGTAGTAGTGGCTTACATTCTGACCTCTTGTAAAGCCAAAATCTCTCCCCTGTGAGTGCATCCTGGCATCACAGACATGTAAAATGTATACCCATTTTACACCTAGGCTGAAGTCAAACTGATCCAAAGAAGAACTGAAATAAGATTTGAGTCCCCAAGGAGTCTGGATTTCTTCAACTACAGAGGTTCTCCAACTTGGAGGCCCAGCAGCATCACCCAGGGAGCTTGTTAAGATGCAGAACTCCAGATGTTCTGACTCAATAGGTTGGGGGAGGGTCCAGGGATCTGCATTTTAAACAAGGACCCCAGGGATGGATGTGGATCAACCAATCACATTTGAGAAATGTTCTGGTTGGGGGTAGGGGCTCCTACCTGTAACCCCAGTGCTTTGGGAGGTGGCTGGAGGATCATTTAAGGCCAGGCATTCAAGACCAGCCTGGGCCACATAGTGAGGCCCCTGTCTCTACAAAACATTAAAAAAAAAAAATTAGCCACGTGTAGCGGTACTCACTTGTACTCCTAGCTACTCAGGAAACTGAGGTTGAGGGATAGCTTGAGCCCAGGTGTTCAAGGCTGCAGCAAGCTATAATCATACCACTGTACTCCAGCCTGGGTGACAGAGTGAGACCCTCTCTTTTTTAAAAAAAGAAACCCTGTCCTGAGGGCTTAGTGGTCAGGCAGAGCTCTAGGTTCAGCCTCAAGTGATGGGCAGGGCTTAGCCATGCAGAGAGAAGGGGAACAGCTGGGGATCCAGAGACACCAAGCAATTTTCCCAGGGGCACACAACCTGTAGGGACAGTTTTAGGTGCACAGTTGTCATCTTATTTGGTAGCTCATGTTGTACAGTAATTCCCCACCCCCACCCCCATGATCTGTGTTTTCACCTTCTACAATTTCAGTTGCCTGCAGCCAACGACATGATGAAGTCTCACGCCATCCTGCACTATTTCACCTAGGAGGTGAATCATCCCTTTGTCCACTGTATCCAGGTTGTAGACGTTAACCACCATTAATCATCAACATCGTCTGCTCCTGACATCCAACCATGGACACTGTCACAGCTTCATGGTGTTGGATCACCCGAGGGAGATGATTCTCCTTCTGACGCATCGTCAGGTTAGTAGTAACCTAACGCTAGATCACAATGCCCATGTCATTCATTTGCTTTCATCTCATCATGCAGGTATTTCATTATCTCCCATCACCACAAGAAGGGTGAGTACGGTACAATAGGACATTTTGAGGGAGAGACCGCATTCACATAACTTTTATTACAACATACTGTTATAACTGTTCTATTGTTATTGTTATTTATTCTTACTGTGCCTAATTTACAAATTAGGCTTTATTGTAGGTATGTATATATAGGAAAAAAACATGATATATACCGGATTCCGTACTATCTGAGGTTTCAGGCATGCACTGGGGGTCTTGGAATGTATCCCACTGGATAAGTGGACCACTGTATATTGAAAAACAAGACCACACATTATTTTCATCTCCTCCCATCAAGAGAAAGAATCTATTTGCCTGCATCCTGAATTTGACATGGAATTTGACATGCTTTGACACTAGTGCAGTTTGAACATTGGAATTTGTCCTCTCTTGTTGCTTTCTGAAACCCGGAGACCACCGTGGGAAGGAGTGGACTATGCTTATTGGAGGATGAGGCCACGTGGAGCAGAGAAAAGCCTTCCTGCGAAAATAGACACTCAAGCTGCTTGCTGCCTGCAGCTGCAGGAGTGACCCAGCTGAATCGAGCCCGAATTGCCAACCCGGAGAATCATAAACTACTGTTTGGGGTTTGTAATGCAGCAGACTGACATGACCTCGTTAATGGTGGAGAATATTTTTCCTCCCTTCACTGGTGGCAAGTTTTCCTTAGTCACAGTAATCAACACTATCTACCAGACAAAGTCCGAATCTGAAAGACTTAGCACACGAAGCTTAATTTCTTGCTCAGTGAAATCCAAGGTGGATCTGGTGGTTCTCCTCTGGCTTGTAGCTAAGGGAACTCATGGCCTCAAAGTGGCTGTGGCAGGGGAAGAGCTGGCAGGCTCACCAGCTCTCCATTGCTTCAGCCTGTTATTCTTACACACAGCACATTGGTCAGAACTAGTCATGTGGCTGTAAGGGAAGCTAGACAATGTAGGGGAGCACCTGAAATATTGGGATGCCTGTCTTTGCCACAACGAACTTCCACAAGTATAATTAATTATGTCATTTGCATGGTTCTCTGTTTAACATCTGTCTCCTTTATGAGACTGTGAATTCTTGAGGGCAGGGGCACATCCGTCTTGCATGGCACCTGGCCTGTAGTAGACATTCAGCGGTGGTTGTGGAATTGCTAAATGAATGAATAATCTGGCAGGTCACAATAGGATGTTTTGTGTTCAGCCTCCAGTGGCAGAGACAATCCTCAAGTAAGTTTCTAACAGTCATTCCCTTTCAGTAATATACATGTACTAATTTGATAGTGTAAAATTCATATACAATGATGATTAAATGAAGACAGAACACGAAAGTCCTCACTAATTAGAGTCAGAGTGTGGTGACGTCCACTATTTGATGAGTGGATATTACATTTTATTATTATTATTATTTTGAGAAAGAGTCTTGCTTTGTCACTCAGGCTGGAGTGCAGTGGTGCAATCTTGGCTCACTGCAATCTCCACCTCCTGGGTTCAAGTGATTTTCCTGCCTAAGCTTCCCAAGTAGCTGGCATTACAGGCACACACCACCATGCCTGGCTATTTTTGGTATTTTTAGCAGAGATGGGGTTTCACCCTGTTGGCCAGACTGGTCTTGAACTCCTGACCTCAAGTGATCTGCCAGCCTCGGCCTCCCAAAGTGCTGGGATGACAGGCATGAGCCACCGTGCCCATCTGATATTACATTTTTTAATGGGCACTTTTCATGTGGCTGCATCTGTGCAGCCTTGTCAAAAGTTCTGCTTCAAGGAGAAACCAGATGAGTCTTTTTCTCTGTTGTGAGGTCTTGGATGAGTCTTCTACTTTCTCCAAAGCTCATTTGTCTTATCTGTAAAATGACAGGAGCATCTACATCACTGGATTGTTGTGAGGCGTAAATGAGTCTCTTTGCGTAATGGAGTAAAGCGTTGGCACGGCATCTACCCTTGGCAGCCCTTCCGTTCCCCTTGCTCCACTGTAGGTATCAGGCCAACTTTCAGCTTGGAGGCAGCTGGGACAGGGTCTGTTGGAAGCTGGGAGGGGCAAGGTAGAGAGGTCAGGGGCTGCTCCATGAGACCCTAGACACAACTAGGCTCTGTTCTGGACAATGCTGGGTGCACAGAGATGAGACTGACTTGTCCCTCTCTGCATCGGTTAGCTTTCACTGTAAAACAAAATAGTCTCAAATTAGTGGCTTAAAACCACAATGACAGGCCAGGTGCGGTGGCTCACACCTGTAAACCCAGCACTTTGGGAGGCCGAGGTAGGCAGATCACCTGAGGTCAGGAGTTTGAGACCAGCCTGGCCAACATGGTGAAACCCCGTCTATACTAAAAACATAAAAATTAGCTGGGCATAGTGGTGCCTGCCTGTAATCCCAGCTACTCAGGAGGCTGAGGCAGAAGAATCGTTTTAACTTGGGAGGAGGAGGTTGCAGTGAGCAGAGATTGCGACACTGTACTCCAGCCTGGGTGACACAGCAAGACTGTCTCAAAACAAACAAACAACAAAATAAACAAACAAAAAATCCACAGTGTTTTTATTTAGCTCAATTAGCTCATGACCTTGAGGGTCACTGGGCAATTCTAGTGTGCGCCAGCCTGGCTGATGTCTGCATCGGCAGTCAGGTGGAGGGTCGGTGGCCTGGCATCACATGATCTAGGATTACCTCTCTGGAGTATCTGCAGTTAGCAGGCTGTTGGCTGGGCCTCCTCACTTCTGCACATTCTTTTCCCCACGATTCCCTCGCTCTCTGAACCTAGTTTTGCTCATTAATCACTCCCCCTCCTATAAGCACACGAGCTCCACCTACAGCTGGAGGAGTGCCACGGTTAGTGTAAGCACGTGCTCCATGAATGTAAGCTGGTGATTGGTTAGAAACGGGTACCTGATGCAGTTCTGACCAATAAGATGTGTGGGAAGGTCGGTCAGAAGCGCTTCTGGGAAAGTTTCCTTCATCCCAATGAAGAGATGCGGGAGCAACTTTTATTGCTGGCTTATTATGCCAGGCGCTGCTTGTTCTAAATGCTTTACACAAAGTACTCATTCAGGTTCTCATAAGTTAGGTACTATTATTGTCCCGCATGGTACAGATGAAGAATCTGAGGCACAGAGTGATTAAGAAACTTGCCAAGAGTCAAACAGCTATTGAGTGCTGGAGCCAGGATTTAATTCTGGGCAGCCTGACTCCAGAGTTCCGAGTTCTCAGGTAGTACAATGCCCCTGCCTTCTTCCTCTGGTCACGGACCTCTCTAATGTGACACCTGCTGTAGCCATTGGGCCAGCAGTCTCGAGGGACAATACAGTCAAGAGACAGAAGGAGCCTGGAGAGCAGGGGTCTTGCTCACAGCCTGGAGTTGAATGGACCAGCACTGAAGCCCACCCTATCCACTGACTTCTTGCTTTGTGTGAAACGTATTTCTGTCTTGTTGAAGCCATTTTGACTCAGAAAGTACCCTAATAGAGACACCGCTGCTGCCAGAAGAGACAGAGGGAGTGCAGGAAAACCCGCTGGGCTCCAGGTAATCTGTTCTTACAAACCACTCAGCTGAGACTGAGACACAACTCCATGGCTTTTCACCATGGGGGCCAGTTTTGAAGGCAAGGAAAATGGATAAAAGATGGTTGCAAAGGATGGAAGAAATCGCCTAGGTAAATAGAAGTATTTCATAATTCTTTATTAGGCACAGGTGAAAATACATACTCATGGCATCCAAAACCTAGAGTATCGACCTGGGATCGTGGACCCCAACTGTTCCCAGAACAGTCCCACCTGGGACTTTCCAGGTGGCCACAGGACAGACCCTGCCTAATCCTGTCCCTCAATCTTGGTGCTTAGGTCAGAAGTGCCATGGTTGACGGGCCTGGACCCTCATTCCAGAACATTCTTGAGTTAGACAAGTACTAGCCTCATAGTTTGGATTCTTATCTCTGGCCCAAATCCCGGGCTTGGGCCTGGAAAGAGAATCTCTTGATCAAGAGGACAGAGATGCTGGGAACACAGGTCCCAGAGTGAGCTGGGCTTGGGTCCTGAGTTTCAGGGGAGTGGCCTGGAGCCTTTGGCACAGGGATACCTCCCTTTCTCTGAAAAGGTACAAGATAAAAAGGCAGCTGGTTTGTTTGTGAAACGGATTGTCCTTGGACAGAGGTGCCTGAACACCAGTACCAGTGGAGGCTGACACTGGCACAAAGTGTACCCAGTGTAGACAGTGACCGATGGCCATAGAAAAGTGTTGTCAGCTCAGGAATGCCAGTTTGTCATCTCTATGAGCAGGGAGTATTGTTCCTTTGCTCACTGCTGTGTTCCCAGCACCTAGAACAGGGCTTGGCGCTTGATAAGCACCCAAGCAGGAATTGCATGTGTGTGGAACAAAGCAGGTGTGTACACAGCACACTCCATGCAGGCTTCTGCCTTTCTCCCTTCTAAAGGCACTGAAGGTTTGGCTCAGCTCAGAGGCAGGAGAAAGCTTGGAGCCACCCCAAACTCAATCCACTGTTGGCAGCTGAGCGTGTAGTGGGGTGGCCCTAGCCATACAGAACCAGTTCGCTGTCTTCCTCTTCTTCCTTGGCTTCATCCAGCCTCGGTCCATCAGGGACCACCTGATCAGCCTCCCAGAGATGGGATCGGGTTGGGGCTGAGGGCATCGGGTCCTCCCGCAGCCAGGGGTGCAGGAGGATGCTTGTGGCTGTAAGCCGCTCAGCTGGCTCCCGACGAAGGAGGCAGCGAACCAGACAGCGGGCAGGGGCTGAGAGGCCTGCAGGCAAGGCGTAGGCCCCGCGGCGGATCTTGCCAAAGAGCAGGACAGGCTCTGAGTCCTGGAAAGGGTAGTGGCCGGCCAGCATGGTGAAGAGTGCCACGCCCAGGCTCCAGACATCCGCTGCCTTGCCTGAGTATGATGCCTGTGAGCTGAGTATTTCAGGTCCCACATAGGCTGGGCATGCGTTCTTATCCCACAGGGAATCATCTGGCCCGGTCAGCACACAGGTGTCCTCCAGGTTCTCCAGCACCAGCTTCTTCCTGGGACATGGGGAGAAACATAAGGGTCAAGTCCCACCCAGAGCCCCCATGCCACTACCCCATACTGTCACCTTAGTGGCACCCACTTTCAAGTGCCTGCTGGTCTTTGACAGACACAAGTCAGTCTTTTGATGTCTGATCCTGTTTTCCAGAAAACTAAGCCCAGGCTCAGAGAGGTTAAGTCAGTTAAGGCCACAGAGCAATTAAATTTAAACTAACATTCTGAACGGAATAAATTTCTCAACAGTCCCTTGGGAAGGGGACTGATGGGGCTTAGAGAGTTAAGCCTCTCTTAAACCAGATGCAAACTTAGGGTCCAAACTTAGGGAAGAGTGCCAGACATTTCAGCGCAAGCCCTGCCTAAAAAGGGCACCACCAACGACACATTCTAGGGTTTATCAAGTGTCCGCTGTGTTCTTCGCCCTTGGCCCAGCTTATTACCTGGCTTATCTCATTCTATCCAGGCTACAACGTGCAAGGACACCGTTTTACAGCTCTAGAGCATCAGCCTGGGATGGGAACCCTGGCTCGCAGATACCCAGAGCCAGTGCTGTGACCCACTCTCGTAGTTTTCAAGGTGGCCCCATGTTCCCATTCTTTTCCCCAAGAGAGTCAGGAATCCTATTTTAATGAAAAAGTCCCCATTTAAAAAATATTGGCAATGAGTTTCAATAAAAAACACGAACAGGAGCAGGGCAAAAAGAAAAGTGTGTGTAAGGCTGGGCGCGGTAACTCACACCTATGATCCTAGCACTTTGGGAGGCCGAGGCAGGTGGATCACTTGAGTTCAGGAGTTCACGACCAGCCTGGGCAACATGGTGAAACCATCTCTACAAAAAATACAAAACTTAGCCAGGTGTGGTGACTCACGCCTGTGGTCCCAGCTACTTGGGAGGCTGAGGCAGGAGGATATCATTTGAGCCCAGGAGGCAGAGGTTGCAGTGAGCTGTGATAGCTCCACTGCACTCTAGCCTGGGGGACAGAGTGAGAACCCATCTCAAAAAAAAAAAAAAGTGTATCCTGCCATTTGCAATTTCTAGTTTAAACAGAGCACTCTAAGATGACTTTCATAGCAATCATTCTGTTACCACTGCTATTCATTTCTTCTTTATGGCACCACTTCCTGGGTGTCCATTGGCATTTCACAAATACCGACCAATCCTATGAATCACAGTATTGAGGGACGAGGAGTGTCAGCATTATTGGCCCATTTTACAGATGAAGATACAAAGGCTCAGGCAAGTGAAGTCATTTCTCAGGGCCAAAAAGCCGGTCAGAAGCAGAACCCAGGATTTAAACACAGGTCTATCTAACTCACGGTCTCTCTTCTACCAGTGCCTCTCATGTGACTTTTCTTCTTTAGAGACAGGGTCTCACTCTGTCACCTGGGCTGGAGTGCAGTGATGCAATCCTAGCTCACTGCAACCTCAAACGTCTGCGCTCAGCCTCCCAAGTAGCTGGGATCACAGGTGTGCACCACCACACCTGCCTAATTTTTCTAAATTTTTGTGCAGATGGGGTTTCACTATGTTGCCTAGGCTGGCCTCGAACTGTGGTGTTTAAGCAATCCTCCTGCTTAGGCCTCCCAAAGCACTGGGATTACAGGTATGAGCCATCAGATGATTTCTTAAAAAGAGCAGGAAGCACATTCTCTCTTCCAGAAGGTCTGGGGTAGTTGTATCTACTCTGAGCTTAAAATATGTTTGAAGTTATGCACTAGCTTAAAAGTCATTATAAATTCTACTTCTTTAAAAAAGGCATGCTTCTTTTACTATAAAATGTAAAAGGAAATATTAATAGAAAATCAGCCTTTGGGGCTGGGCGCGGAGGCCCACACCTATAATCTCAGCACTTTGGGCCAATACAGGCAGAGCACTTGATGTCCGGAGTTCAAGACCAGCCTGGCCAACATGGCAAAACCCCATCTCTATTAAAAATACAAAAATTAGCCAAGTGTGGTGGTGTGTCCCTGTTATCCCAGCTACTCAAGAGGCTGTCGGGAGAATCGCAAGAACCCAGGAGGCAGAGGTTGCAGGGCGTCAGGATCATGCCACTGCACTGCAACCTGGGCAACAGGGCGAGACTGTCTTAAAAGAAAAGAAAATTAGTCTTAGGCAAGCACCACAGTAATAACTGCTACAGGCAAGATGGATAGCTGCTAAAATTAGTAGGGGAAAGTTGAGGAAAAACAGGATATTTATATGCTTAGCTTACCTACCCCAAGGTATTTATCCATTACAAAGGCTAAATTAAAAACCTTAGAGGAGAGAAACCTGGCAGGTCCTACCCTAACCAAGTGATCAAGGTTACAACACAGTAATGACTATCAACTCAATGATATGATGTGGAGAGGGACCTATCAATTCTGTGTTGTTCTTGCCAAAAATATATAACCACGGCTGGGCGCGGTGGCTCACGCCTGTAATCTCAGCACTTTAGGAGGCAGAAGTGGGTGGATCACCTGAGGTCAGGAGTTCAAGACCAGCCTGACCAACATGGTGAAACCCCATCTCTAAAGAGATTATATATATATATATATAAAACTGCAATCTAACTTTAAGAAAACGTCAATCAAATCCAAATTGAGGGACATACAAAGTAACTGATCAGTACTCTTCAAAAGTCTCAAGGTTATGGTGGGAGCAGTGGCTCACACCTATAATACCAGCACTTTGGGAGGCTGAGGGGGGGCAGATTGCTTGAGCTCAGGAGTTCGAGGCCAGCCTGGGCAGTATAGCAAGACCCCATCTCAATTAGCCAGGCATGGTGGCACACACCTGTAAACCAGCTACTCAGGAGGGTGAGGTGGGAGGATCACTTGAGCCCAGGAGTTCAAGGCTGCAGTAAGCTATGATCACACCACTGCACTCCAGCCTTGGTGACAGAGTGAGATCCTATCTCAAAAAAAAAAAAAAAAAATCATGGGTTATCAAAGACGGGGAAAGACTGAGGAACTGTCTCAGATTAGACGAGGCCAAGGAAACCACTGATAACTAAATCGGGATCCTCACTGGATCCTGCACAGCAAGGGGTGTTCGTGGGAAACTCGGGAAGCCGGAACAAATTTGTGGCTTAGTTAATAGTACTCTCCCAAGGTTCATTTCTTAGTTTGAGTAATTGTACCATGGCTATGGCAAGTGTTAACATTGGAGGAAACTGGGGGAAGGATTTTTAGAAAATCTTGGAACTATTTTTGTAGCTTTTCTAAAAGTCTAAAATTATTTCAAGATAAAAAGTTTTAAAAAGTGTGCTGGGGTCACACTCCTTCCTCCACAGAAAAATTCTGTGTAACTGGCAGCTTAGTGCACTCCCTGACACATCCTGGATGCCCTCAGGAGGTGAGTCCCTCTGCCCTCCCCACCCCCAGAAGAATTATCTTTTAAAAATTTTTCTTAGCATCTAGGCCAGGTGTGGTGGCTCACACCTGTAATCCCAGCACTTTGGGAGGCTAAGGCAGGTGAATCACCTAAGGTTAAGAGTTTGAGACCAGCCTGGCCAACATGGCAAAACCCCATTTCTACTAAAAGTAGAAAAAAATTAGCCAGGCATGGTGGTGCGTGCCTGTAGTCCCAGGTACCCAGGTGGCTGAGGCAGGAGTATCACTTGAACCTGGGCAGCAGCGGTTGCAGTGAGCCATGATTGCGCCATTGTATTCCAGCCTCGGCAACGGGGGAGACTCTGTCTCAATTAAAAAAAAAATTTTAGCTTCCCAACCTAGAGAAGGAAGATTAAATTTTAACCAAAAAGTGCTAATTCTCAGTTTCACAGAAAAAGTTCCTGTGTGGGGAACCTCAGACCCTGTCTTGTTTTGAGTGTGGTCTTGGAATTCTGAAAACACCCTAACAATCCAGCCCTTTTCCCTACTAATGGAGAAACTGAGGCTCAGAGACACTAGGTCACCCAGAGTCAGTTGGTAAGCCCAGCCAGGACCCCTGTCCCTCTAGCTCAGACTGAAATAGGACCCAGGCTCTGGTTCAAATCCCAGGTCTACCATTTATTTCGCTGTGAGATCTTGGGCAAGTTACTTGTGCTCTCTGGGCCTCAATTTCCTTGATCATATGAGGATAATAATAATGCCTTCCTTGAGTTTGTAAGGAAGGAGACCACGGTAGATAATGCGGCGGTGCTTTCCTCACTGTCAGCTACTGTGACTTTCCCATCTCAGTGCCCCATCCCAGCATCCCAAGGAGCCCCCAAGAGGACTTCATCAACTCTTTTTCTTTTTTGAGATGGAATCTCACTCTGTTGCCCAGGCTGGAGTACAGTGGCACAATCTTGGCTCACTGCAACCTCTGCCTCCCAGGTTCAAGCTATTCTTCTGCCTCAGCCTCCCGAGTAGCTGGGATTACAGTTGTCAGCTATCACTCCTGGCTAATTTTTGTATTTTTAGTAGAGACACGGTTTCACCATGTCGGCCAGGGTGGTCTCGAACTCCTGACCTCAGGTGATCTACCCGTCTCGGCCTCCGAAACTGCTGGGAGTACAGCCATAAGCCACGGCACCCACCCAGCCTGAGTCAACTCTTCTCTGGTTACCAGACAGGGGCTGCTAGTTACTCCAGCCTCTCTACTTCTTACCTAAGTTACTTTGTTTCCTGGGCCTCAGTTTCTCTCCATCATGGCCCACCCCCTGGGTCTGTCTGTGGCTGGGATCTCTGCAACCACACTCACCTCTCACAGTCAGTAAAGACAAAGCGACGTAGCTTGAGATCACGCAGGACCAGACCATGCTGGTGACAGTGCGCCACGGCGGTGGCCATCTGGCGGAAGAGCGCAGCAGCCTCAGGCTCAGGGATGCGGCGGCGGTTTCGCACCAGGCTGTGCATGTCTCCGTGGGTCCGAGTGAAAAAGGCATAGAGCAGCTGGGTACCAGCCAGGACCTCAGTGGGCTGAGCCACATGCTTGTGTGGGGGCAGCCGCGCGTAGGGCTCCAGCACGGCCAGGGCCTCGTGGATGGGGTACACCTGTGGGCAGAGCATGATGTGAGCACAGCTGGGGACTCCCGGGAGCTGAGGCTGGCATTGCAAACATTGCAAACAGTCACAGCTGACCTGTTAGACACTACCATGTGCTAGCCATTGCACTAAGTGCTTCACTTACCAAGTCATTCAGCCCTTACCACAGTCTTATAAGTAGGACTCGCTTCGTTTTATAGTTAAGGAAGCTGAGAGGCCTCACAGCCAGCAAGCAGCACAGCTGGGATTTGAACCTGTGCACACCATTGTCTGTGCTTTTTTTTTTTTTTAGACAGAGTCTGGCTCTGTCACTCAGGCTGGAGTACAGTGGCACAACTCAGCTTACTTCAAACTTGGCCTCCTGGGTTCAGGGGATCCTCCTGTCTCAGCCTCCCGAGTAGCTGGGATTATAGGCATGCGCCACCACAACCAGCTCATTTTTATATTTTTAGTAGAGATGGGGTTTCACCATATTGACTAGGCTGGTCTCAAGCTCCTGACCTCAGGTGATCCTCCCACCTCAGCCTCCCAAAGGGCTGGGATTACAGAAATGAGCCACCATGCTCGGCCTTTTGTTTGTGCTCCTAACTGCTATGCTATATGGCCTCAAACATCAGATAACTGAAAAATAACAAATCACTCAAACGGAAAAATAACCCTCAAAGCATCTTCCAGAAGAGCGGATGATGCAGAAGGCACCTGATGCCCATCACCCTCACAGCTCCTGTCCTCTAGGCTTGACTGCCAACCTTTATTCAGCAAGCTGGCCCTGGGCCTGCATGGCCAGCTGTGTGTCCAACCGCACTGACAGTCATGGACTCTGCTCCCCCATGCCCACTGGGAAGCCAGTGCCCCGAAACTAAATATTGACAAATGTGGACGAGTATCGCAAAGGAACCAAGAAAGATGCAGGAATAGAGCGTTTTGTTTTCTTTTTGTTGTTGCTGTTTGAGACAGAGTTTTGCTCTTGTTGCCCAGGCTGGAGTTCAGTGGTACAATCTTGGCTCACTACAACCTCTGCCTCCCGGGTTCAAGTGATTTTTCCTGCCTCAGCTTCCTGAGTAGCTGGGATTATAGGCATGTGCCACCAAGCCTGACAAATTTTTGTATTTTTAGTAGAGACAGGGTTTTGCCAAGTTGGCCAGGCTGGTCTCGAACTCCCAACTTCAGGTGATCTGCCCGGTTTGGCCTCCCAAAGTGCTGGATTGCAGGCATGAGTCACTGCGTGTGGTCTGGAATAGAGTATTTTGGAAGGGGGCACCCATTTTAGAAAGTATGGTTCAACAGGGACTCTGGGGAAATGATCTGAATGACCCAGAGATGCCCATGGAATAAGCTTTCCGAGTAGGGACATAGGCAGTGCAAAGGCCCTGAGGCAGGAAAAAACCTGGCCTGCTCTAAAAACCCAACCAAAAATCAAAGGGGTGAGGAAGGGAAAAAGAACATGGGATGAAGGTGATGAGGTTGATGGGAAATGTATTAGGGGTCTATGGGCATCACAGCAAAACCTCGCCCTAGCCTGAAATGTGTGTCCCATTTTACCAATGGTAAGACTGGGTTCAGAAAAGGAAATGACTTATTAGAAGCCAGACAGCTGATCAGTGGCAGAACTAGTATACTCACTTCTTTTTGTCTGACTTTAAATCCTTTGCATGTTGTGTTGACTATGCCATGAAGAAAAATAAATGAGACACATATATATTTAATCCATGATTTAAAAAGTTGAAGTACATGACTTTAAAAACCAGTTGGGCTGGGTGCAGTGGCTCACCTGTAATCCCAACACTTCAGGAGGGTTAGGTGGGAGAATCACTTGAGGTCAGGAGTTTAAGACCAGCCTCACCAACATGGTGAAACCCTGTCTCTACTAAAAATACAAAAATTAGTCAAGCATAGTGGTGTGCACCTGTAATCCCAGCAACTCGGGAGGCTGAGGCAGGAAAATCACTTGAACCTGGGAGGTGGAGATTTCATTGAGTCAAGATCATGCCACTGCACTCCAGCCTGGGTGACAGAATAAGACAAAAAAAAAACAAAAAAAAAACCAGTTGGGGTGACATGGGGGAAATAACCCCAAAACAGAGATTACATTTTTTTTAGTTGGGGCGAGCACATTCCTGCCCACGTGCACTTGCACTTGCTGAACCTGCTGCCTGGATGCTCTTCCACTAGACCACGAGGCTGACTCCTTCCATTTGTTCAAGTCACTGCTCAAACATCACCCCTCAGAGAGGTCTTCCTGGACCTCCCTTGCTAAAATCACCTGCACTCCTGCCTTCCTTGTCCTCTGATCTCCCTGTTCCCAGATTTATTTTTCTCCATAGTGCTTATGATTACCTGACACATTTTTTTCTTTCTTTTTTTTTTTTTTTGAGACAGAGTCTTGCTCTGTTGCCCAGGCTGGAGTGCAATGGTGTGACCTCTGCTCATTGTAACCTCCACCTCCCAAGTTCAAGTGATTCTCCTGACTCAGCCTCCCAAGCAGCTGGGACTACAGGTGCACACCACCATGCCCAGCTAATTTTTGTATTTTTATTAGAGACAGGGTTTCACCATATTGGCCAGGCTGGTCTTGAACTCCCAACCTCATGATCCACCGGCGTCTACCTCCCAAAGTGCTGGGATTACAGGCGTGAGCCACTGCGCCCGACCACCTGACACATGTTTTACTTATTCACTTGTTTATCGTCTGTATCTCCCACTAGAATGTCAGCTTGATGGGAACAGAACTTTGTTTTTAACCACAGCATGGTACACGGCCAATATGTGTGCTCAATGAAGTTGTGTTGATTAATGAATAAGGTGATAACTTACAAAGACAGGATATTGATCTTTCTACACACCAACCAGAAAAGCTAAGAAAGTGTGGAAACGATCATTCAGTGCCCGTGTTGCACACTGGCATGGGGTGAGTATGTTCCAGTGGATTTTTGCCAATGTCTCTGGAGAATCGGGGCCCTGTGAACGCATGGCGCTTCTGTCCTGATCCTGCTTGCGTTACTCCTCTCGCCACAGACTCACCTCCGCAGGGGGAGTGGAAACAAACCTGTGATGCTGCAGGAAGGGGACCCAGAGTTCCAGGCTCCTTGGGGCACCTGGTTAGAGCACTGGAGATCTGCACACAAGAGCCCTGACGAAGCTAGGGGCTGGACTCTGTCTGGATCTACCCCCTGCTCACTGCATCTCCATCAACAGAGCAAAACTCTGCTGCTGCTCCCAAGAGGGGGAGGCTTAACTCCTTCTGCCTCTCTGTGCATTCCCAAGGGACCCAGGCCCACGCTACTCTCCCTTGTGTATCCAGGTCCCCTTATCTTCCTTATGCTTACCTGCCAGGACAGCCTGCCCTGATTGTGTCTGAAACACTTTATCCTACACAGGCACAGGACTCTCTGGACTCAGCCTTCCGGGCCCAATCCCAGCTCTGATACCTCCTGACTCTGTCATGTGGCAAGTACCAGGCTTTCTGAGTCTCAGTGTCCTCTATCTGTAAAATGGGCACACTGACAGTAACAGTAACCACCTCATTGGTTGTGTGAAGATGAAGAGACTGCGCACACGAAGCAATCAACATGGTACTGGGTGCGCAGTGAATACCTATGGTTACATTTTCATTCTCATTTCTGTCCTCTTGGACGGTCACTTGCCAGTGTCCTGCATGGGCTGACCCTCAGGGGCCTTGACCCTGCTCATTTGTGTAAAAATGCCCCAGGTTAGGCTCCATCACCTCTGGGGTCCCAGGAGGCTTTTTTGTTGTTGTTTTGCTTTTTGTTTTTTGAGACGGAGTCTTGCTCTGTCATCAGGCTGGAGTGCAGTGGCACAATCTCGGCTCACTGCAACCTCCATCTCCTGGGTTCAAGTGATTCTCCTGTGTCAGTCTCCTGAGTAATTGGTCCTACAGGCATGCGCCACCACACCTGGCTAATTTTTTGTATTTTAGTAGAGACGGGCTTTCACCATGTTGGCCATGATGGTCTCAATCTCCCCACCTCGTGATCTGCCCACTTCAGCCTCCCAAACTGCTAGAATTACGGGCATGAGCCACCGCGCCCAGCTGTTCCCAGGGGTTTTTATGTCTACCATGCCCTGCCCTTCTTTTGTGCAAACATCTTCAGTGGCTCCACATAGCCCAGTGGAGGCCCCTTGTTAACAACTTCATGACCAGCTGCTGCCAACCCTCACGTCCTGCCCCTTTCCGCACACCCTCTCCACTGTGGCCATAGTGAAGTCCTTTTCATGCTCTGAAGTGCTATACTCTCACTTTTCTAGGCCTTTGCACGGCTGTTCCCTCTGCCTGCAGCTCTCGTCTGCAGCCACTTCTACCTGGCTAACGTCTGCTTGGCCTTTTCTGTGCCCCATGATAGCTTAGGGGTACCCCTAAGCTCTACCCCCGCAGCTTTTAGCACCCTGTAGGGCCTCAGCTGTGAACTCCTCCAGGACTGGGGCTACATCTGGTTTACCTCTCTGGTTTCGGTCCAGCAGGTGCTCACTGGGTGCTTCCCCGCTAAACACAAGAATGAATAAGCATAAGGACCACTCTGCACCCTGGCAATCCTTTGGAGATTTCCTTTCCAGGCCTCCTGTGATGCTGGGAGACAGTGGCCTGTGGACACGTACCTTGCAGGTATACTCAGTGCTTGTAGGGCAGTGCAGGGCCCGGTAGGCCCGCCCACCCTCCTCAGGCTCCAGGAGAACATAGGGCCCAAGACGGGAGGCAGTGGCCACAGCAGGTACACGATCTGGAGCAGGGGGTGGGCTCAGGGGCAACAGGCAGCGGGGCAGCCTGGGCTGGGGCCCGCTTCGAGCTCGTTTCTGGACTGGACACTCGGCATCTAAGTTGTCCTCCAACTCCAACCGTTTTTTCCTGGACAGGGAACCCGCAGGAGCAGCCAGAGGAGTGGCTCGCATCTAGCAAAAAGGGTAGAAAGGCACTAAAGTGAGACTGCTTGGTGGCCCCTTCTTTCCCCTGCTGGTGGGAGAGTACGGGCACAACATTTATAGGGGGCAATTTGGCAGTGTGTGTTAAAATGACAAAGTCACATATCCTTAACTGGGTGTCCCACTTCTAGGAATTTATTCTCCAGTTAAACATCTCACAAAAATTTAAATACGGCAAAGGCTGTTTATCAGAGCCTTGTGTCCAATAGCAAAAGCAGAAAATATCCCAAATGTCAGGCAGTAGAAAGCTAGTTAAAACATCATGGTATAGCCACACAGCAGAATACTACACAGCTCTGAAAAAGGACAAGAAAGCTCTCTATATACTGATGTGTACTGATCTCCAAGATGTATTAAGAGAAGAAAGCCAAACACAGAATTATGTGTTATAGAATGCTTTTATGTTTTCTTTAAAATTTTCTTCCCCAAGAGGTGGGGCCTTGCTATGTTGCTCAGGCTGGTCTCACACTCATGGCCTCAAGTGAATCTCTCATCTCGGCTTCCTAGTAGCTGGGACTCTAGGAGTGAGCCACCACACCTTTTGTGGTGGCTATGCTTTTGTGTTTAAAAAGAATATGTAGCTGGATGCGGTAGCTCACACCTGTAATTCCAGCACTTTGGGAGGCCGAGGTGGGCGGATCATGAGGTCAAGAGATCGAGACCATCCTGGTCAATGTGGTGAAACCCCGTTTTTACTAAAAATACAAAAATTAGCAGGGCATGGTGGCATGTGCCTGTAGTCCCAGATACTTGGGAGGCTGAGGCAGGAGAATCACTTGAACCCAGGAGGCTGAGGTTGCAGTGAGCTGAGATCACGCCACTGTACTCCCACCTGGTGACAGAGCAAGACTCCATCTCAAAATATATACATATATATAAAAAAATATATGTTATATTATATATGTATATTTGTTTGAATATGTACAATCTCTCTTTCTCTGGAAGGATGCACAAGATTAGGAGGAGACTCTTATTATCACAGCTCACTTGTAGCCTTGACCTCAGGGTTCAGGTGATCCTCCCACCTCAGCCTCCCAAATAGCTGGGACTATAGGTGTGCACTACGATGCCTGGCTAATTTTTGTATTTTTTGTAGAGACAGGGTCTCTACAAAAAGGGTCTCACTATGTTGCCCAGGCTGGTCTCAAACTCCTCAGCGCAAGCAATTCAGCTGCCTCCACCTCTCAAAGTGTTAGGATTACAAACCTAAGTGACCATGTTTGCCTGACTCTTTATAATTCTGAATTTGAGCCATGTAAATGTATTTCCTGGCTGGGTGCGGTGGCTCATGCCTGTAATCCCAGCACTTTGGGAGGCTGAGGCAGGTGGATCATGAGGTCAGGAGTTCAAGACCAGCTGGCCAACATAGTGAAACCCTGTCTCTACTAAAAATACAAAAATTAGCTGGGCATGGTGGTGCATGCCTGTAATCCCAGCTGCTCAGGAGACTGAGACAGGAGAATCACTTGAACCTGGTGGGTGGAGGTTGCAGTGAACTAAGATCGCACCACTGTATTCCTCCACTCTGGGTGACAGAGCAAGACTCCGTCTTGGGAAAAAAAAAACAATTAGCTGGGCATGATGGAACATGCCTGTAGTCCCAGCTACTCAAGAGGTTGAGGCAGGAGAATTGTTTGAACCTAAGAGTCAGAGGTTGCAGTGAGCCAAGATCGTGCCATTGCACTCCAACCTGAGCAATAGAGCAAGAGACTCTGTCTCAAAAAAAAAAAAAAGTATTTCCTAATCAGGAATTTACATTTAAGGAAATAAATACCTGCTTGAAAACACAGCTTGTTGCTAAAAATTATGCTAAGGAAGATCAACTAGTCTCGTAATCCATGGGTCTAGTACTTTCACAGATGATAGATATGATCTTGTTCATTCACTTAACACAGGGTGCTAGGGAAGAGCAGTGAGTTAGACAGTATTCTTGCCATCAGGATCTTCCAGTCCATTTGGAGGACAGATGAGTAATCATAAAATCACATCCAAGGCTAGCTGCAGTGGCTCACGCCTGTAATCCTAGCACTTTGGAAGGCTATGGCAGGAACCCAAAAGTTAGAGACCAGTTTGGGCAACATAGTGAGACCCCATCTCTACCAAAAAAATTTTGTTAAATTAGCTGAGTGTGGTGGTGGATGCCTGTAGTTCCAGCTACTTGGGAGGCTGAAGTGGAAAGATGGCTTGAGCCTGGGAGGTTGAGGCCGCATTAAGCCGTGTTTGTGCCACTGCACTCCAGCCCCCTCTCTTGCTCTGTTGTATGTGGTACTTCCAAGGCCAAGGTCGATGCTGGAACTCCAGTAGAACCAGAGAGACCTCCAGGTTTTTTACACAGGAGAGAAATAGCTGTCTATTTCATTTTAGCTGTTGTTAAGTGGCTGTTTCTATATTACAGCTGAGCCTAATCCTAATTAACACATAATGGGATTTGGAATTATCCAAAGGCAGTGGGGAGCCACTGAAGGATTTTCAGCAGGGGAACATCATGCCTTTAGGGTGGATTTGAAAGTACAAGACAGGGGCAGTGAGACTAGCTAGCAGGCCCGCACAAGCAGGAGCCCAGGCAGGAGAAGGTGACCTAGGTGCTAGGTGGAGACACAAAGTTAACGGCTCATAGGAGGAGGATCAAAAGGACTCAGTGGCAGACTGGATGGATTGGATGGATTGGATGTGGGGGATGAGGGAAAGGGAGGTCCAGCCTTTGGTTTCTGCAAGGAAGACAGTGCTAGTGGGAAATAAAGGTGCCAACTTTGAGAAGTGCATTTTGACAATATCAAAATGAAAAGCAGGCTGGGCTCAGTGCCTCATGCCTGTAATCCCAGCACTTTGGGAGGCTGAGGCAGGAAGATCACTTGAGCCCAGGAGTTTAAGACCTGCCTAGGCAACGTAGCAAGACCCTGTCCCTAAGGAGAAAAAAAAATCATCTGGTTATGATGGCACACACCTTTATCCCAGCCATGCAGGAGGTTGAAATAGGGGAATCACTTGAGCCCAGAAGGTAAAGGCTTCAGTGAGCCATGGTCAGGCACTCCAGCCTGGGCAACAGAGTGAGGCTTTCTCAAAAAAACAAAAATGAAAAACGTGTGAGCTTTGATTCAGCAATTAATTCCACTGCTAGGAATTTATCCTGTAGAGGGGTGTGTGTGTGTGTGTGTGTGTGTGTGTGTGTGTGTATGATGCAAATACAAGGTTATTTCTGCAGCCCTTGTGACAGAAACGATTGGCGCTCTATAATTATAGGACTGGTTACATAAATTATACTTCATCCACACAATGGAACAATTTGCAGCCACTTAAAAGGTTGAAGATGCTCTTTATAGGCTAATTGGAAGGATCTCCAGAATGAACTGTTAAGTGAAAAGAAAACCACCATCCACGCAGCTGTGTGACTGTGTGTGGGGTGGCTGAAGGAGAGGGCAGTGGCATGTCAGGGCAGGAGGGGTCTCTCTAGAACCTATCTTCCCACCCACTGAAACTCCATTCCAAGCAGGTACATGCCCAGGTCTGAGCATTGGTGTGAGAGAGACCTCAGTCTGGTTAAAGACCTTCCCAACAGTTCAAGGCAGGATTAACAGGGAAACATCAGAGTCAGTTACCAGACAGAGGCCCACCTCTCCAAGTACACTGCTCCCAAAAACAAGAGCTGCCTTGGAAGGGAAGGCCTCCCCATGAGAGTGAAAGGTCATGACTTTGGTTTGGTAAGAATGCAATAAGGGGTGGCTGTAGTCAAATATTCTTGGGTTCTAATCCTGTCTCAGACCCTTTCTGGCTGGCGGGTACCCCCGGTCAAGTTCCTCAAGCTTTCGGAGCCTCAGTTCCTGTAAAGTGGGAAGGGGGTGCAAAGCTTACTGGTTTTTAGTGATGATGAAACGAAAACACAAATGAAGAGCTCAGCATGGACCTGTTGCAGGGTGGGTGTTAGGAAGTGGTCAGCATGGACCTGTTGCAGGGTGGGTGTTAGGAAGTGGTCAGCATGGACCTGTTGCAGGGTGGGTGTTAGGAAGTGGTCAGCATGGACCTGTTGCAGGGTGGGTGTTAGGAAGTGGTCACTATTAGCACTCATCCCGTTATTCATCCCAGCAAGATGCTTAAGTCCCATCCTTGGGAGTCTTAGAAAGCTCCCCAGGTATGAGGCCGGGATGACATTCCTTACATCTCGACTGTTCTGAGTCCTGCAGGATGATACCTGGCTGTGCACATGCTTTGTGCCCTGTGCAGCAGGAGACTGCCTGCAGCCCCTCTGGCCTGCGCCACATCAGTACTCCAGGCTGCCTTGGCCCAGCCATCCCTCAGAGTCTGGTGGGGCCTGGGATAAGCTCCACCCAGATGTGGACAGATGTGGTAACTGAGTCTATAAATCTTGGGCAAGGCATTTTGCAGACCACACTGCAGAATAGAATCTTTGCTGTGGAATGAAAACAGCCCCTATTATCTGCCTCTTGCTGTTCCCTGCCACACTCAGGACCCAGGGAAATGAGGGCGGGCTACATCAAGCACACACACACAAACTCAGGGCTGACAGGTGTGCACACATTCCCAAGACACTGTGTCTAAGTCAGCCAGCGACAAACACATCCAGGGCAGACAGACATTAAGTCACACACACACACACACACACACACACAAAACCCTCCCCGGTATCACACCCATGGTCTACACAAGCAAGGTCACACCCTCAGCACCTTCACCCCGCCCCGCACCCCCCTTCCCCGCCCCGTAACCCCCTTGCAGCCAGGCCCCGCCCCGTAACACTCCCCTTGCAGCCAGGCCCCTCCCCTGGGAGCCAAAGTGAAAGGCGGCGGGTGTTGTCCGGGTCGGGAGGTTCAACGGAAATTGAAGGGCGGCCCTGGGACTGGAGGGGGGTGAGGCAGAGGGAGGGAGGTGGCTCTAGTCCCCCGCACTCCCTGGTCTACAGGCACAGCACACACCACTTACACATGCGCACCCTTCACCTGCAAACCAGGAGCCACGCAGCGGGGAGAACCAGCGGCCCTGCCCGGCCCGGCATCCCGAGCCGCGCCCTCGCTCCCACTCGCTGGACTCCTGCACCCCTCGCTCCGTCCCGCGGCCCGCTCCCAGGGCACTCCAGCCCTGTCCCGGCGGTGTCCCTTGCACCGCCAACCCCTGCCACCAACTGCCCAGTCCTCCACACAACTCTCACCATCCTCGGAGACACAGGTCCCCGGGACCCCACCCTCACCCAGAACTCTCCCCTACAGGTTCACGCGGAGCCCCGCAGAGCACCCAACACCCCCACAGAGAGTCCTCCAGTGTCCCCCACCAGCCCCTCACCTCACCACACGACCCCTCTGTCCCACACTTACGCAAAGCAGACCCCCACAAACCCTCCTCTAGGGGTGACAGCCGGAGTTCTCCTTCCCCGGCTTCCCCAACCCAACTCGGGCTACCCCACGCCCACGGGGCCACGTCGCCTGAGTCCCGGGGGGGCGCTCGGCCCAGGAGGTCCCCCGGACAGCAGGGTCTGTTAAAGGTGTGTGTGTTTGTGTGTGTGTGTAACATGCAGCAACACGCAGCTTCCCAGAGGCTCCCGGCGCCCCCTTCCCCAGCCGCCGCTTCTAAACCCCAGCCTCCGGGCGAGTCCACTGTTCGCCACCCGCCGAATACCTTGTCCAGGCGTCCCGCGTGGGTCCTGGCGCCGCTGGTGCTCAGGGCCTCCAGGGCACCCGCAGGTGGGCCGGGCCTGCTGCGCTGCTACCGAGCTCGGGATCCCCGTCCAGCTCCAGCCCCGGCCTCAGTCCCAGCAGAGGACGCGCGCTGAGCCGCCGCCACTTCCTCTGAGAGTCTTGTGTGCGCCCAGCTCCTGGCCCGGGTGATGTAAACTTGAGCTAATCAGCCGCTTGTCTGATGCCCTCAGGCCTGGGATTGCACCATCCCCCGCGCCCCGCCTCTGCAGGTCACCGCCAGGGCGCACTCCGCCCGGGCCTCTCCCGTTCGCCCCGGCCGCTGGACCCGGGGATCCCACTCTCGCTGGCCCACTAGGGGTGTCTGGTCTCAGTGCAGACACCGGCCACGGACTCTCCCTATCACCTTGGGGGAAAAAATTTGCTTTTCTGAACCTCAGTTTCCCCAAGAACATTATTCCTTCTCAGGATGGTGCTTAAGAAAAAGAGCAACCAGTGACTGATGTCCGGGTGCTTCCCCGTTTATAAAGCACGTTCCCACCACTGTCTTAGAAAACCTTTAGGAGAAGTGGACAGGCAGGAATCTCCGTTCTCCCCGTTCTACTGCGGGCCAGCCTGAGGCCCAGCTATGGGCAAGTGGTCCAGAAACTTCGGGAAGGCTCAGGGCTCAAAAGAACCAGTGTGGCCACTGGGTGCGGTGGCTCAGGCCAGTAATCCCAGAACTTTGGAAAGCCGACGCTGGTGGATCACCTAAGGTAGGGAGTTGCAGACTAGTCTGACCAACATGAAGAAACCCTGTCTCTACTAAAAATACAAAATTAGCCGGGTGTGATGGCACATACCTGTAATCCAGCTACTCCGGAGGCTGAGGCAGAATAATCTCTTGAACCCGGGAGGCGGAGGTTGCCGTGAGCCAAGATCAGGCCTTTTGCACTCCAGCCTGGGCAACAAGTGAAACGGCGTCTCAAAAAAAAAAAAAAAAAAGAACCAGTGTGGCGCCCTGGCAAGGTCTGAGATCTTGTGAGCTTCCCTGCGTTCCTTTGCTAGAGGCAGTCCGGCCTAGTGGTGAAGAGTCCCTAGAGCCAGCTGGCCTAAGTGTTTCCTTCACCTCAGCTCCAACCCACAGTGCTACTCCAGAGAAGCTACCTAAAACCCTGCCTCAATTTCCTTCTCTATAAAATGGGCTCACGATTGCGCTCACTTCATAAAGTTTTTGTAAGGGCTAAATAATTTAATATGTGTAAGAGGCTTAGCACAGTGTGTGGCACACAGCAGATGCTCAATAGTGTAAACACTGGAGACAGACAGGAAAAGGGGCCTTTCATATACTTGCACCCTAGGCCTGGGAGGACTTGGTGTTACTTGCTTTGCAAAATCTTGGCTCACCACAACCTCTGCCTCCTGGGTTCAAGTGATCTGCCTGCGTCAGCCTCCTGGGTAGCTGGGATTATAGGCATGCCCCACCACACCCGGCTAATTTTGTATTTTTAGTAGAGATGGGATTTCTCCATGTTGGTCAGGCTGGTCTCAGGTGATCTGCCCACCTTGGCCTACCAAAGTTCTGGGCCCAGTGTCTTTCTTAGAAAAATCCCTTTTAGACCAGGTGCAGTGACTTATAGGCCTGTAATCCCAGTACTTTGGGAGGCTGAGGCAGGCCTCCCAAAGAGATCAGGAGAGCAAGACCATCCTGGGTAACACGGTGAAACCCTGTCTCAATTATTAAAAAATACAAAAATTTACATGGTGGCATACATGGTGTCACATGCCTGTAGTCCCAGTTACTCAGGAAGCTGAGGCAGGAGAATCTCTTGAACCAGGGAGGTAGAGTTGCAGTGAGCCGAGATCGCACCATTGCATTCCAGCCTGGGTGACAGAGCAAGACTCTGTCTCAAAAAAGAAGAAATTCCTTTTGATCTGAATTCACCAGTGGGCAAGCTGGGTAATGTCTGTAATCCTAGCATTTTGGGAGGCCAAGGCGGGAGGACTGCTTGAGGCCAGGAGTTTAAGAAAAGCCCAGACAACATAGTAAGACCCTGTCTTTACAAAGAGGAAAAAAAGAGCAGGCATGGTGGTGCCAGCTTGTGGTTCCTGCTACTCGGGAAGCTGAGGCAGGAGCATCACTTGAGCCCAGGAGTTCAAGGTTACACCATGATTGTGCCATTGCAATCCAGCTTGGGTGATGGCGAGCTTCTGTGTCAAAAATAAATAAATAAATAAATAATTCCTCTAGGCAGAGGCTGGACGGGAAGCAGGGTGGAGTCATATTTGTTTTCCTGTGTCCAAATCCCTGGGGACCAGTTCACCTGTGTCCCATAGCCTTCAGGGCATACCAGGGTATTCTGGGATCTCATTTAACCCTAGTGACTTCCCTGCTGGGGAGGGGTGAATAAACTCATTTTCAATCCTGGGAAACCCAGACGGTTAGGAAGACCCACAGCTGTTTAAGGGGTGAAGAAAGGCGGGAGGGTAGTTTCCTAAGGACCCCTCTGAAGGTGTGCTGGGTTTGTTTGCACATACCTAACGTTGTTTTGTGCTGTGTCACCCAGTGTTTTGTTTTTGTTTTTTGTTTTTTGTTTTGAGATAGAGTCTCTCTTTGTCACCAGGCTGGAGTGCAGTGGTGGTCTCAGCTCACTGCAACCTCTGCCTCCTGGGTTCAAGTGATTCTCCTGCCTTAGCCTCCCGAGTAGCTGAGACTAGAGGTGCCCGCCACCACGCCCAGCTAATATTTTTGTATTTTTAGTAGAGACGAGGTTTCACAGAGTTAGCCAGGATGGTCTTGATCTCCTGGCCTCGTGATCCGCCCGCCTCGGCCTCCCAAAGTACTGGGATTACAGGTGCTAGCCACTGTGCCTGGCTGTCACCCTCTATTATAAGTGCTGAGACTCAGCAGTGACCAGACTTACCCATCCCTGCTCTCTCAAATCTTATAAGTCAGTAGAGAGAGAGACCATTATCAGGAAAATGAAACTGAAACCATGACTATGTAAAATAGACTGCATCACGCCTTTCCTTGAATCAAACAGGAAAGATTTGTTTTCTGTCATGACTGAGGATGGCCATTTTCAGCAGGGCTTATGAGAAAGGTGAAGCTTCTAAGCTGAGGGAGAAGAAGGGGTAAAGAGTAGAAAGATGTGAAAGGGATACAGAGAAAAACAGTAAGTCACCTCCAATCTATAGACAAAAAGAGTCAAGGTAAGAGACCTACCCAAGACGACCCAGCTGATTGTATAGGACTGATTTCAGGCGGGGCGTGATGGCTCATGCTTGTAATCCCAGCACTTTGGGAGGCTGAGATGGGCAGATCATCTGAGGTCAGGAGTTTGAGACCAGCCTAGCCAACTTGGTGAAACCCTGTTTCTACTAAAAACACAAAAAAATTAACTGGGCATGGTGGCACATGCACCTGTAACCCCAGCTATGGGGAGGCTGAGGCAGGAGACTCGTTTGACCCCGGGAGGCAGAGGTTGCAGTAAGCTGAGATTGCAACACTGCACTCTCAACAGAGTGAGACTCCATCTCAAAAAAAAAAAAAAAAAAATTAAAATATTCAGTAAAATAAAAAATTCTCAGTCACAACCAGCCGCATTAGCCATGTATGACATGCTCAATACCACATGTAACAAATGGCTACTGCTCTGGTTTAAATGTATCCCCCAAATGTCATATGCTGGAAACTTAATCCAGCAGTATTGAGAGTTTGGGAACTTTAAGAGGTGATTGGATCATGAAGCCTCTGCCCTCATGAATGGACGAATCCACTCATAGATTAATGGATCTGTGGGTTATCACTGAAGGAGAACTGGTGGCTTTAGAACAAGAGGAAGAGAGACCCAAGCATAGCATGTCAGCATGCCCGGTCCCCTTGCCATGTGATGCCCTGTGCCACCTCCAGTCTCTTGAGAGAGTCCCCACCAGGAACAAGGCCCTCACCAGATGTGCCCCCTCAATCTTGGACTTCCCATCCTCCATAGCGGTAAGGAATAAATTACTTTTCTTTATAAATTGTTCAGTTTCAGGCATT